CCTTTAATCGAGCATTAATAATATAAACAAAAACAATAGGAAGCTTTTGGTGATAAATCTTCTTCAAGGCTGTGGATGAAGTTCAGTTGGGAACTGTGGGCAGTTCCCAACTGAACTCTTTTTATGTTCACATATATCATTGTTGTTGTCGTTGTTGTTGTTGTTGTTGTCGTTGTTGTTGTCGTCGTCGTGTGCTGTCAAGTTGCCCCCAACTCATGGCAACCCTACAAATGAGATATTTCCAAAATATCTGGTCCTCAATAGTCCTGCTCAGCTCCTGTAAACTCAAGCCTGTGCTTTCCTTTAGGGAGTCAGTCCATCTCATGTTTGGTCTTCCTCTTTTCCTGCTGCCTTCCACCTTTCCCAGCACTCTTGCCCTTTCCAGAGAATCTGGCCTATTCATGGTGTGCCCAATGTAGGACAGCTTCAGTTTCAATATATTTGCCTCCAGAGAGAGTTCAGCCTTGATTTGATTCAGGAACCACTTGTTTATCCTTCTGGCGGTCTACGGTATGTGCAAAGTTTTCTTCCAGCACCACATTTCAAAAGAATCAATGTTTTCCTTGTCAGCTTTTTTTTTTTACAGCCCAGCTTTCACACCCGTACATGGTGATCATAAATACAAGAGTGTGGAAGACATAGACATACTGGCCCGGAATTCTCTTGGTGTTGAGCAGCATAAGCCAGACACTGTGCAAGCAGTGTGTGCATCCTTGTTGTGCCTGGATTGCTCCATTGTTTGCCCACCTCAGCACATGACAGATGGCCAGCAGAGTGCAAAAAATGCTTGCACAGTTGCCCTTAACATTCATATTATTTTGCAGCAGGACTGTGCCCACTTTCTGCCAAGGAGCCCAACATTTAACAAGCAACTATGTACAAGCAGATGCCTACATCAGATATTAGAAAATGCAGCTTGTGACACAGCAAGCAAGCATTTTATGGGGTGCAGAAATCAGGGCCATTCCTACTGTTAGGCAATGGGAGGCAACTGCTTCAGGTGGCAGATTCTGGGATAAGGAGTGGGTAGAAGCATGCCTTCCTGAGCAACCCACATAGCCTGTCCTGGTTCCCCAAAACTACTTAACATGAGATGGAGGAAACCACCTATTTTTGAAAGACCTGAGCAAGGCTGTCACTATGTCTTTCTGGAATAGTGAAAAACCAGTGAAAAGGTGGTACTTTCCACTATCTTGATAATTTTGGGAAATCCCATTAAATTCCCTGGGCTCCTTTCATTTCTGTGTGAAAACCCTGCTCAAGGTTGTTAGCTGCATTCCAGTTTCAGTGATGTGCAAACACTCCTGGCAGAGAAGCTGCAGCTCCCAGCGGACGGGGTGACCTCTCATTCTGCCTTTCTGCCTAGAGTTAGAGAATTAGATCAAAGGGTTCTCCAGCCAGTCCTAGTGGCGATTAGGTAACTAGTATCCTATCTGAATTCCTTCAACATTCTGTGTAATCCTGCTATGTTAATAAAAGAGTTCTCAAGGTGTTGCTTGAGGCTCTGCTGGTTGGGATATCTGCTTGTCCACTTCTTTGCAACTTCTCTCAAGGCTAATTGCCTTCCTATTGTTTTGTGATCACCCACATCATTGGCCTTCCTTTGTTCCATGATCACCTACACATTTCCAGCAAACCTACAAAAGGCTTTGTTCTTTCTATTTTAACCTTCAAAATGTTTGTTTTAGTTTTGCATTGAGTGTTTGATCTTCAAGTCATTTAAAGGTAGTGACTCATAGCAGTGCAAAGCGACTTCCTTTCTTGCTTGTCAGAGAAGGAAAATTAATTAACAGCCTCCCAATTTGGTTGTTGTGGGTTTTGAAGGTGGAAAGCCTTCGCGAAAGCCTCCCAATTTCTTCAGAAAAAGAGGGCTGGCATAGAACCAATTTCCATAGAATGCCCAACATATTACTGTGCTAGTCCTCAATACCAGATTTCAAAAAAATATCAAATTAATATGATTATGCTTTGAAACATATGGTATTTCAAATGCTTCAAATGTTAGGGGCGTATGTGTGTTTATCTTATAGCACCTATTAAAAATGAAGAGTTATGGGTTTCGTGCGGATCTAGATGAAGCCAAAACAGCAGCAACAACAGCAATGCCTTCATTTTATTTCATAATTTATTCCTCTCCTTTCTCCCCAAGAGGACCCAAGGCAGCTTACAATATCAAAACAATATTAAAAGCCAAAAGATGATAAATAATACAATATTAAAAATACAGTATTAAAAAGCAATTTAACTGGTATAAAGACAGCTTGAACAACTTCAAAAGCATATTAAATAGATAAAGAAACATGCACACACATGCCTTTTTAAGCCCCCTGCCTTAGGTAGCCAGATACCAGAGAAAGGTTTTTCTCATCTCTTCTCCACATTTATTTATTTATTTAATTTATACCCCACCCATCTATATCAAAGTCTACTCTGGGTGGCTAACACTAATAGATAAAAGTAAAAACAATATAATAAAATAAAAACAACAGTAATAATATAGTTCAAGATGGGAAAAATAATCAGGTGATGACAGGAGGAAAAGCCTGCCTAAAGAGCCAGGTCTTACGTTTGCTCTTAAAAACACCCAGTGAGGGAGTCAGACAGATCTATGGGGGCAGACTGTTCCAGAGGCGAGGGGCCACTGCTGAGAAGGCCTGAGTTTTTTTCTTTCTTTCTGGGCCTCCCTTGGCGTTAGGCCTCTCAGCCGCCCTTCCTGGCTAGAACAAGTGATTCAGGCAGATCCAGGGGGGAGGAGGCGTTCGGCTAGATATCGAGGTCCTAAACTGTTTAGGGCTTTATATGTCATCATTAACACTTTGAAATCAATGTGGAAACAAACAGACAGCCAATGCAAGGCAACCAGAGTGGAGAAAATATGCTCATATTTTCTCACCCATGAGAAGTCTGGTTACCACATTATGCATCATTTGAGGCTTCCTCATCAGTCTCAAAGGTAGCCCCACATTGAGTGCATTGCAGTAGTCTAATCTCAATTTGATCATGGGTAAAAAATTGTAAGACTGCTGGAGTTCCCTTTTTACACAAATTGAATCAGTCTTCCTTCTCTCAGGTTGAAGGAGTGTTGTGTATAAGTGGCAGCTAAAAACATATCTGTGCTTGCAAAATATGAGGTATGCTTGCTAATAAATGAATAGATTACTAACCAACAATGTAAATAGTAGTAGTCACAGTTCATACAGAAATAAATGTGTGTCTGAGAAGGAGGAATCCTATCCTTTGAGACACAGCATTTTCTGGATTTCATTCATGTAGGGCAAGCTGAATCTGTTGAACATCTACCTGCCTTACAGCTTTTAAACCCATGAAATTTTTGTCCAGAAAACAGGTGGGCTAAGTAAACCTTGCTTTAAAATGTCTGCAGAAATATTCCATAACTCCCTGTTGTTTGGATTACAGCTGTTACTGTGTATTTTTTTTTTCTGTCCATCTTTAAGTCAAACTTTCTCTGGAATGCAGATACAGTGCCAGCCAGGGAAAGTTTAATCTGCTGCATTTCTGCAGCTCATGGGTCTTTGTAAGGCTCACAGGCTGCCAGGAGGATGGGGGAAGACATCCTTAGACACAAATACTAGTATATGTGGAAGAAGAAGATAATGGATGGACATTTTGCTTTACCTTTTGCATAGCTGTTCCTAGCAGAATCTTTGTTTAAGCATGAAAAATGTGGGAATTATAAATACTATCCTTGAGATTAACTAAAAGCTGCTGGAAAAGGTAACATCGGAAACTGAATGTTTGTTGTCAAAAGTATTATTTTCTATATGCAATATGTGTAGCATGAGTATCACTGAGTGCGTATACAAAACAGGACATTGCCCTCTAATATATCCCTCAGCAAGCTGTGATGATGACTGTTCAGAACAGGTGTGTGTTAAAAAGCACAACAGCAAGACGCAAGTGTCCAAGAGAACTGGCAGGAAGATGGAGAGTGACTCATGGAATTTTCCACTGCTAAATAAACAATCAGGTCCATGACAAAATGTAGCTGCATGACCTTATACAAGAAAAATTAGGGAAAACTGATTTTTCAGTGTTCTTTAGAAATACACTTTAGCATGACTTACTGTAGACGGAATAAGGTAATTGCTGACTTAAAGCTGAGTGTGGAGGCATTAAAATTATCTGAGTGTTAGTATGTTTAATACTCAATTTCAGTGAAATATCTGTCTTGTCTGTTTGAGGACAGCTTCACACAATATGACTCATGTGTGGAAGTTGCTGGAATGGGTTAGTTCAACAAAGAGTAAGGCAGGCACCTCAGGCAGAAGATGCTGTTTGCAGTGAGTAACAACAGGCTGACAGAGGCTTTGGGAAACTGTAGTCTGAAAACATATATTTCTAATCATGACCTCCTAACCCATAATTGTAGCTTGTTCTTGTCTAGTTCTATGTCCACCTAGAATCAGGAGTTGACAAAAGAAGTGGAGAAAACCAGAAGTGACAGAGGTAGACCAAAAATGGCTAGACTAGACAAAACAGTTTGGTTGGTCATCTGCCAAGCAGTTGAAGGCCTAGGCAACAAACGGTGGTTAAAACAAAGCATGTCTTATTATGTGAATGTGCCGTGTGCCATTAAAGCGAGTACATCATGCCCAGCATGGCGGGTGTACAACTCAGTTGTCCCTCAGCACCTCACCTCCAGAAGCATTTCCACACACAAAAGGGTGACATTTATTTTTCTCTAGATTGCAGCTTTTAGAGATACCATTAGAAGCTCTTCCTGAAGTCTCAAAAAGGAGATTGCTAGAGTGGGCTCAGTGGTCTGATTTACATGGACGACATGGCCCTCTCGATCCTGACCCTTTCTTTGAAAAACAAATGCATTAACTTCATCAGTAAGGCGGGGGAGTCTACAAAGGCAAAGCAATAAAAATATACTGGATCTGGTTTGTCTCCACTGTGATTGAATGGTTATTGCCACTGTCGTACAGTGGATAATTCCCTCCCTCCTTTTCTGTCTGTTTCTTTCTGTCCCTCAGGTATATGGCTATAGTTTACCCTTTTAAGCGAAAACTTTCTGCGGCGAATATGAAAGTGATCATAGGAATCATCTGGCTGGTGGCTTGTGGACTTGCCTTCCCACAGTTCTTTTATGCAGAACTAATTATTGATAATGGAACACCCAAATGTATCGTCGCTTGGCCGGGCGAGAGCGAATGGAAAAGACTCACGTAAGAACTCCCCAAATGTTTCAGCCAGAAGTCCATTTTGGCATCTTTAATGACCCTTATTAGAAGAAAGAGCAGGTGCAGGAATTCTGTGTCATTGAAATATTTTGCTTTCAATCTGGTTTCAGGATAATTGATTCAATGATCAGAACCAGCATTTCTTGTTCCACTTCCTTACTCTTGATGGAACAGGAAGAATATACTGTACTGTATGGTTAATCAAATATTCATATAGTAATCAAGATTGCAAATTTATGTCAAAATCTGTATCATGCCAACCAACCTGTCATAAAATGTTGTTGAAGCCATTGAGTTCTCCAGATTGTTCTATCAGGCTAGATCAGGGAGGGGAAAACCCAGTGGGAATAAGAGTCATCAGTCCAAGGTGTGTGTGGATTAAGGGGAAGGAAGTGTGCCCCAAAGGACTAATTTGCATATATGATACAGCCACAGGCTAATCTGTATGCTTCTTTTCTAATACAGACATTTAAGGCAGTTTTCAATACATTAGTTATGTACGTTATCTATGAAACCAAAAGGTCTTATGTACAGTGGGGTCTCTACTTAAGAACGTCCCTACTTAAGAACAATCCAACTTAAGAACAGCTCCATTTGCTAAATTTTGCTTCTACTTGAGAACAGAAATCCAAGATAAGAACAGGAAAAAAAAACCTTTCCTGCTCTTTTTTTAACCTCAGGTCATCTTAGGTTAAAAAAAAAATCTCCCCTAGTGGTAGAGTACGTATTAACCAGCTTTGCATTAGTTCCTATGGGAACTAATGCTTCAATGTACGAACGCACCTCTACATAACAAAAAAACAGCCAGAACGGATTAATTGGTTTTCAGTCCATTCCTATGGGAAATTTTGCTTCAACTTAAGAACGTTTCAACTTAAGAACACCATTCCAAAACGGATTAAGTTCTTAAGTAGAGGTTTCACTGTAGTTTCTATGGACAGAAAAGAGCAGATACGAATTAAATGGTTTTCAATGCATTCCTATGGGAAATGCAGATTCAACATAAGAACTTTTCAACTTGAGAACCACCTTCCAATACGGATCAAGTTCTTAAGTAGAGACCCCACTGTAACTACAGTATTATGAAACATTTACTAGCTGCTGGATGCAGATAAAGCCCAGTAAGAAGGAAGCAGAAGGAAAACATGTTGACTTCACTTGAAGCCAAGAACTCTGTATATCATCATACTAACAACATGGGCCAGGAGGTATTCAAATGAAGCTCTACCAGAGGTTATTCAGGTTTCAGATCCTACCTAGAACTTTTGAGATAGAGAAACACACAATGGTTGATTTTTAACAATATAAAAACCAACTGCTGCCTGGCTCTGACATCTCATTTCATAAAAGCACACTGATTTCTTGGTACCTACATGGAAAACAAAAATAGAAAAAGCAGAGAAAACTGAAGACATTTGTTTTAAATCAATAAAAGTTAGTGATAATTTTTGGGTGGTGATTGCACTTCTAAAATCGGAGGCTTCCCTCATCTTCCTCTAAGCATACTGGAATAAGAGGTGCTTTTGAAATGAGGGGCATTCAGGAACTCTGAGTTTATGCTGGAGCTGAACTTGCTCCTGGCAAACATGTCAGGGAACCCTACCAATGAAGGCCACAGCTAAAAAAACCACCCCAGTACTGCCCTGCAGCTCGATTTCCACAACCTACCAAAGCTGTGGACACACCAGTCACAGAGAATGACACAGAGAGCTGGCTTCACTTGCCCCTCACCTTTCCCTGTGGGAAAAGCAAGGAGTGAACAAAAGTGAGTAAGCTATTGTCTTGAATGGGACTCCTTGAGCCAGTAGTGCAGTGTTAAAATACATGTCACAGTACAGGAGACTTGTGATTGGGGCAGGAGCGTGCCTCTCTCCAAAATCTATAGAAGAAGCACCTCTCATCCCAATCCATGAGCCACCTCTACGTTACAGTGAGCCCATCATGAGAAGAAAGGCTACTTTAAGAGGTTGGCTTATTTCAGAGTGAGCTTTCTCCACTACATGTTACCAATTAGCTTGCTGATGTTTGGTGATTGGGAGATAACCACAGGCTTCATTTACAAGCTGGTTGTGTGGACCTGGCAGTGTCAAAGGATTGTGGATTAAACATTTCCAACTTCTATTCCAAATCTCCTGAGATTCCCTTGTAATCTTTTTCTTTGGTGGGAATCAGAGAAAGCTGTGGAACAGGAGGGGGGAGTCTTTAATTACTGAAATTCACCATTCTCAGGACATTTTTACCTCAGGACCTTTAGTAGAGAAGTTGGAATTGTTTGATTTCAGAAAAATCACCACTGTTGGTGACATCATCAGCCTTACATGGAGCAAGTTACAACAACAGGATTTCAGCTATTGCCTTCCAGTTTAGAAAATAGCATCTAATCTAGTTAAGTCCTCATTCTGAAAGTACTGTAGTTTCATCGTTAGCTTTTGACTTTGCCATTCAGGAGACAAGCTGACTGAACTACTACTTTAAGGAATGCTCCTTAAAAATTGTGGCTTGCCCGAAAAATCACTCTCATGCTTTCTTTTACATCTTCATGTACATAGGTGGGGGCTTCAGGGATAACTCTCAGTTGAGGCCTACACAGCTGTATGAAGAAAGCTGGTGGTCCAAATTCAGCTCACAAGCCACAGACATCTCCCTCCTCTGCCGTAGACTGAGATCCTCAAACTCAGTATAAGTAGACTTTCTATCAGTCAATCCAATATCCTTCATGCTTTACAAAGATTAATTAAGTGGTGGGAGCCAACACCAAACATTTTGCTTCCTGATGCAAAGCAGCAATCCTTTCTCCATGTCAGGATGTACCCAGGTATACAACTTTTGTATAGAGATGTTATGACTCAGCTATATAACCAGGAAACCCATACTGTATATCCAACTTACATGCACACATCCTTTCTAGAACACATGTACAGTCTGTGCAAGCAGTACACTGTACACAGATGGTTTGGGCTCAGGGTCTGTACTGGACCTTTCATCTTTAGTGTATGCACACTGAACATTTGCACAGGGGGGCTTCATTTTCAAATGGTATATGACATGCCTTAGCTCCCAGATATATCTTTGCTGGTAACAGTATTGGGTTTAAGAGGAGCATGACTTATGAACTAGAAGGTTTTGATTCAGTCTCATTTCAGTGAGTTATTCACTCATTAACAATAGTTGCCTACTTAATAGGAGTGCTGTAGAGCTACTGACCTAAGGAATGAGAGGCCCCAGAGCATAATACTGTATACAGTAAATGGTTTTCTGATGGAAATGCAATATTAAGAGGAAAAGCAATATTAGATAAGTTAATTCTCTGATATATGTGATTCCCAGGCACATAAATTATTACTCCTGCTGTTTCAAGACCTTAAAGCACCTTTTAAAAAAACAGCTCAAGCAGCATCTTACAAAAATTAAAATATGCCCAAGTTTAAAACAAGAACAACAATATAAGATAACGCTCCTCCCCCGGCCTTCACAAGGCAGGCCTTATCTAATTACTTTCCTCCTCAGGGTGAACAACTCCCTAAGGACTGGCTTGTGCAGTACTTTTTTTCCCCACACATGGTGACTTGCATTTTCTCTGAACAGAAGGGGAAAGAGGTGAGACAGACACAGGAAGAGATAAGAATGCCTGAAAAAAGTGCTGTAGACTTTAAATGCTTCCCTTTGCCTCAAATAGCAACAGTACTTATTGTTGGAGACTCACGTTGTCCCTGCATTTTCATCTCTTATCTGAAGAAAAAAAAGGAGCAACAAGTTACTGGAGCCAGTTTCAAGTTTTTGCCATCTGCCAGATCCCCCTTCTTTCCCTTCTGTGCATTTCCACAGTTGCCATGTTGGCACCAGATCCCCAACATCACCACCACCATTCCAGTTATCTGCTCCCACAAATGTATGGGACTTGGCCTTTCAAAGAGTGTTGTCATTCGTTCCCTATGCCAGATCACATTCACACTCATCAGACTTTGATCTTAATTTAAGGCTTTTCAGGGGGACATGAGGAGTAACAAGGATGCCAATATCCTCTCTGCCTATGGATCTTCCTTTGGGCATATCTAGACAGGCTTCCTCAGGCAGCCGGTATCAGAGTCTACTTGTAGCTATTGAAAAAAGCCCTCTCTCTCAGCCTGATCAAAAACGTTTATTGGGTCACAGACATCCGTCATTAATGGTCAAAGTAGTCAGGAACAAATTATCTATCCTTCAATTATAGAACAGAACCAGTGTGGTGTGTTGGCCAGGTTATCAGGCTGGGATTGATTGATTGATTGATTGATCTATTTAATTAATTAATTGATTGATTAATTAATTAATTAATTAGACTTATATACTGCCCCCCTAGAACATGTCTACTCTGGGCCGATCCATGTGAAAGTCCCGACTGTGCCGTAATAAAACTTCCTGGGTGGGCCAGTTGTTCTCTTTCATCCTGACCTACCTGTCATGGTTGTTGTCAGAATATAAAAGGGGAGGGGAAAGACATGTCCTCTGCCTTCAATTCATTGAAGAAAATCTGAGGTACAGTATATGTCTAGCTAGAAAAAGAACTAGTGACGAACTGATTACATGCAGCTTTCCCCTAGTTTTTTTTTTAATTATTGGTAAGTAACATCATTCCTTGCAGCTTCCCCCACCCCCACAGGAACTGTGGTGTGGGGTTGCTAAAATGCTGCTAGAGCAGTTTGCATCTATATGTGCACCCTTACACATGAGATTGCCTGCTACATAGTTTCCAAGTCTTACCTATAGAGAAGGATGTGACCGTGGAGCCAGTTGAAATCCATGGTCTAATTCTGCTCACAGCCGTACAGGATGTCTTCTCACTAGGGCAGAAGCACCTGGGGTACAATCCAGTGTTTGGAGAGTGACATCCCTCCCCCCCCCATTCCACTGCATCCCATTGCCCCACCAGGAGAATAGCAGCATTGGGTTTTGCCCTTTGTGATTTATTTCCATGTTTTTCCTTTGAAAGCATTGGATTTCTGATGCCAATTCTTCAACCATTTCAAATTTGCTTTGCAGCTGTTCCATTAATTGCACCCTTCACGGGAGACCTTCAGGCAGAAATAAGCAAACATTTCCTGCCAAGCAAGTTCCTTGGTCAGGCATCATGCCCAGCTCTCCCTTGTTTTGGTTTGCTTTGTTTTTTTTAGGTATCATATTACAGTCCAGGTATTGGTCTACCTGCTGCCTCTCACGGTGATGTTCATTACGTACAGTGCGATAGGAATGGCTCTGTGGAATAATGTTGTTCCTGGTGATCATACTAACAAGATCTACTACCAGCATCAAGTTACAGCCAAAAAAAAGGTTGGTCCTTGTTAACTGACACCTCATTGTTTCCTCTGGTGACATGGGGTCATGCCAGAATACAAAATCACTCAGATTTGAATTGCTGATAGTTAATCATTCAGATTTGCATTGCTGTATAGTTAACAGTCCCAGTCTTTAGGGGGAGGCTGTCATACATCACAATCTACCCTGTTCCGTCTGGCTTTACTGGCACCCCTCCCCCCATTTCTTTCCAATGATCAAAGAGTCAAAGAGAGCTGAATGTAGACTGCTTCATGAGAGATGGGTGGCTGTTTCCTTTAGAGAGAAAAATCACGATAGAGAAATAAAATATTCAAGGTTGGCTCTATCATGAGGCAAAGTGAAGGGGTCTCCTCAGGTAACAGTGCCAGTGTTGTGTGGAAAAGGTTGCAGGGCAGCTCCCTGAATACATTTTCTTCTCTTGGAGGGCAGCGGTATGTGTTCCAGGCAAATTGTCTTCAGCCCCCTAACCCTAGCCTGTTTCCTTAGATGTGGTAGAAGATGGTGTCTCATTTCCAGTGTCATAGCATGATTCAGAGTCCAACCTGGATGAGAGGAAATGTGGGAGGGGGGTGGAGGAAGGATATGGTCCACCTGAGGCAGCAAACTCTTCCAAACTGACCTTGAAATTATTTCTCTTTTTCCCCCTCAGTTTGTCAGGACAATGGTTGCTGTTGTAATAACATTTGCCATCTGTTGGTTTCCATATCATCTCTACTTCATATTGGGGAGCATCTGTAAAGATATCAACAGGAAGAAATATATTCAACAAGTTTACCTGGCAGTATTTTTACTTGCCATGAGCTCAGCTATGTATAGCCCAATTATATATTGTTGTCTAAATCAAAGGTTAGTATTATAATACGTGCATGAAAGGATATATCCACTCTAGAGATATGACTGAGGGGCAAAACAAAAACACATTCATTTCAATAGATATTGAGTAGGAGGTGCAATCTTTGACACCAATTGATTCTTCCCCTCTTTTTTTTCCTCCCTGAACATCTTTTGGTCTTCTAAAATTCAGCTGTACATTTCAGAAAGCCCCAAGGGATCAGGGTATACTGAGGAAAAGACTGACTAAAGGAGAAAGCTTAGACCTAATGGACAGATAGACTGCAAAGTGAGAGAAGGTATCAACAGGGCATGGCAAAAAACACATTTACAGTAGAATCCTATCACCGGCTAAAATCCTGTAGCACGATAGATCACACTAGACGAGGCTCATTGAATCAATGGGGATTTCATCAATGAATTCCTCTATGAGTTTCATTGATTCAAATGGGCTTATTCTAGTTGTGCTTTGCTGTGCTAGAGTAAATCATCATTGATTCAATGGGCCTGCTCTAGTGCAATTAACTACAGCAACAGGATTTTGACCTCTTGTCTGCTGAGAAAATATCAGTGACACTTATTGGAAGTGGGGCAGGATTGAAGCGCCAGAGCACTCCCCCAAGTGATCATTCTTCTCTGAAAACAGCTAGTATCCTATTGATTTGTGTGTCAAGGTTTATGTAGCATGCTGCAGCTAATTGTGGCTAATTATGAGGTACCAGGGCACATCTCAGTTACTCAGTTGGGTCGTGATCAGAAGTGTAGTCGAGGTAGGCCCCCCCACACCTCATCAATTAGCTCTAGTTAGCTGCACCAAGTTAAGCAAACCTTATGGGAACACTAGTAAGATTCTGGCCAACATATTGTGTTGTTTTGATAGAACTCATGGAAATACGAGCTGTTTCTGTTATGGGAAACTTGTAGCCTTTAGCTCACATGTAGTCCTTACGGTAATCTGAATATATGTGGTCTTTCACAGGCAGTCTGCCAAGCAAGGAATATGGAGGTGGGAAAGACGAGGAAATGGGGGTGGGAGGACTACATGGTAGGTGGGTGAGAGAGAAAATGGGGTGGGCAATGGGATACAGGGAGATGGAGGGGGAGAGGAGTGACAAAAGGGGGGTAGGAGAAAAGGGGGTACCTCATCTTTGTGCTCTCTGCCCCAGCACTAACGGTATGCAGTTCCAGAAATAATGTCACCCTCAAACACACAAAAAAAGAGTCACTATATGATGCTATGTTTGATTTATGTGATGCACTCATTTACAGGTTCCGCTCAGGTTTCCGGATGGCTTTTCAGTGGTGCCCATGCATCAAAGCAACGGAACAAGACAAACGTAACCTTTCTCATCCATCACCTTTGCAGAACCTTCAGCGGGATCAAACCTCCAACCTCCAGATGAGCACAGGCACACACACAACTAATGACAAAACATCATTCACTGTTTAGTGCTCTGATCATCTGTTTTCTTCCAGGTCCTCTTCACTTCTCTAGTAAGTCCCAAAATGTCTTCAAAGTGCAGAGTTTACGTCTGTTCCTTGTTATGAATAGATTAAATTGCTACAAACCCACTGTAATGTGTAATAATTGATCAGGAAAAACTGAACTGTGGGCCAGATGGGGAACCCTTCATAAATATATCTGGCATATCATCCTTTGTCTTACCCGGATACTCTTTCTTCTAACTGAAATGAATATCTAAAGATTCAGAAAACAGATTGGCCCTACTGGCTTCCTTCTATCCGCTCTAGCCATGCTCCACCTCAGAGCACTTCCCACTTCCAAGGACATCCTTACACTCTTTTTATCTTCTGGGTTTCCAGCCAGAGGCACAAAAACCAGCCTTTGGCTAGACTTCCAACTTATCTTTGCTACTTGTTTCTTCCGCTTCCGGAATTCAACACAAGTACTGCCATTTTCTGAAATCATTCCTCCTGTTGCCACAAGGCTAAGGACGGAACTCAGTCACAGCCACCGATTTTATAAACAGGTTGGGCAAAATGCATTTAAAAATCTTGTTTGCAGTTTATGTGTGAAAATCAGAATGGCATGATTTATTATAGGTCAGAACTAGGATATATTTTTTAAAACCACTAGTCATCCACACCCTGTCTCTTAAATAGCTGATCCACAGCTAACATGTACCAATGAAAGGTTATTTGAAAAAAGAGAATGCTAAATTAATACAAGAAATATTATACCTCAACAAGTATAGCAATAAGACAGTGTACTGTAATGCATATTTTAAATATTTATTGTAGGTTTTCAGGTAACAAGAATCTTTCACTTGAAAAAAAGTGCTGTAAACTTATTAAGTACTGGTTTGTATTATAAAATAACCTATTGCTGCTATTTCTGGCAATAAAAAAATAATGTGTCAAAGCAGAAATAAAAATATATCTTCAACCTCCTTTGGAAATAACATTCACATCAGTTCATTCCTCCAGCAAAATGAACATTGGAAGAGCAGAAAAGAACTTCAAGAATTAGCATATTTTTCCTAATTCTTTTCACTAACTTTAAAAGCAGATAATACCACAGCAGTGAAGGTTTTCAGGAACTGCAGTCCAAAAACCACTGCTCTAGTCTAGTGGACAGACTAGGACTCAAAAGGCCTGGGTTTGAATCCCCACTCAGCCATGAAAACTCACTGCAGGAGTAGAATTGGTAAAATCACTCCTTAAATATCTCACTTACCTTGAATGCCCTATTAGGGTCACTATATGTTATTTCCGTCTATGTTGGTTCTCATAGTACAGAACATGTTTTGCATGCATAGTGTGTACACTGTGACTGAGATACAAGAATCCTTTTCAGTACTATTGACACAAACTATTTACAGTATTAGTCTTCCCTGGCCTGGTACTTCTGAGATGCTTTGGACTTCAACTTCCATGATCCCTCCTCAACTGGCCAGGTTAGCTGGTGCTAGCAAAAGTTGCAGGTCAGAAACATAGATTCAACAATAGTTAAGACAAGGTTGGGCTAAAAGCCATTGGGAAGTATAAATCTTGCACAACAGATGAACCCCCTTAAAAAGTATGGAATTGGTACTGTACATAATGCCTGATATTGCAATTATTATCAGTCAGTTTGTAACAGGCCAAAGGGCACAACACTTAGCCATTACTGTGGACAAATTCACTTAACGTTCGACTTAAAGGAGACCCATCTCCGTGAAGTATTCGTATAGTAAACACCTGACGTCACACAAGGCAGTCTAAGCGTGTTTTATAAAAGTTACATTTGCTAGACTCCTGCACATGCCTTGCAAACTATCCATAATCTGGAAAAGTGTTCAGGAATGTTTTCAAACATTTGATTTTGCTGCTTCAGTACAACATAGGCTCCTTTTCCTTTCTAGCATTTGGCTTTCCCTGGCCAAAAAAAGAATCACCAGACACCAATAAACGCACATCAAAAAAAGGTTTAATGTCACAAATATCCACTTTGCACTAGTATCATTGCTACTAGTGAGCAATGTAAAAAGACTCTAGCATTGCAAAACCAGGGAACCATGCAGTTCTCCAGGAAGACACACACACGCACACGCGCACACATACACACTTAAAGCTGAGCGTATTGTTTGTGACTCATAGGGTACTGCACAACATTTTATCACAGTGCACCAAAAGGAGTATTGGAAATGATTATTAGAAGCTAGGGCAATCCAAATCTTGAGGAATAAATAAGGAAGAGTCTGCAGGTCGTCCCCGATGTCCCTCTGTTTTTGGGGTTACTGTTGTCAGTCATGGGATGGATCCTATGAACATTATCAAGTTGTAATTTGGACAGCAGAAAGAACAGTAACTGCTGTAGGCTACTGTTGCTATTATTTGTAAAACTAGCTAATTAATAGGCTGCTGGCGAATCTTAAAAGACTAGCTCAGTCATTTGGCATTTATGCAGTTCCAAACAATAAGAGAGCCTTTACTCAGTTGCTTGAATTGCAAAGCTGGTTAAGAGTTGGCAAAGGATTAGAGTTTCCTCATTTATGAACTGGTTTGTTCGCTGCTACCCTCTGGCAGTGTTGGTACCCCCAGCCTAGTCCAGTCAGTGCCAATGGAAGGATTGTCCGTTGAAGTTAGATAGATCCTTGTGTAACCATTTACGTGTGCTAGCTTTATATTTAGAAGTCTGATTCTGACATTAACCTCACTTTTAAAACTACATGGAAAAATAAAATTCCTAAACATTCTAATCCAGCAGTTCCAACTAAAAATCAATATGATTTTGCCTCAATGACTTCCACTGCAGTTAATGGAAGGCAAAGTGTACTATATTTCTCACATACATCTACATTTTGTTATGAGCACCACTCCATAGAACATAATTTGCAGCTTATAAAGGGCTGAGCAGCAAAGCACCGTAGGGCGGAGCTCCTGCCAGTAAGTCAGGTACTTGTCTGAGCAGCCCCATCACCACATACCAGTGACCATATTGGGGAGGCCATCCACCATTTTAATTCCCCCCATAATATTCAAAAGCAGAGGAAGGGACACGTGGTTCTTAAGATTTTTTTTATTATTATTCTAACTCCCATCATACTTTACTACTGTCCGTGCTGGCTGGGGCTGTTTAGAGTTGTAACAGAGCTCTTCCGCTCTGTTCTTGAGCGATGTTATGGTAGATGCTCTAAAGCATTGTGAGAAAATCAAAATGGCAGATGACTTCACAGCCTCAGTTGCCATAAACGTACAAGCAATGGACTAGGCAAGAAAGCCAGGGGTAGTACCACTGTTGGGGGAACCCAGACTCTGGCAGCTGCCTCAAGATGCTGAGTATTCTCACTCGTTCTGTGTTGATTCAGTTTTACTAGAAACATGCCTGACAAAAAAATAAGTTTTTTTGACAGCTGCCTACACATGTTGTAATACTTCCACATACAGGCACTGGGTTGCTGCAGAAGTTCTACCCATGAACCTAATATACTGAAACTGCCTCTCAGCTGAATACAAAGGAAAAGGAAGGGACCTTATATTTAAAATGAAAACAAAAGGCAGTCCTCAGCTCTATGGAATACAACAACTCCAAGGCAAAGATGTAGCAGTCTGGAAATTTCTCATGGCCTACAGATTTGGATTACCCTTGATCGAAATCACCGACTTCATTTTATCAGTAAAGACCTGCCTGACCTTTGAAACAGTACACATTTTACTTGAAATACAACACCACTGACCAAAGCAATGGAGAAATGCCAGTGATATAAGACATGGGGAAACATTTATTTCTTTATTTACCATCCCTGACTAAATACGGACACAATTTACTTTGTGGAAGGAAATGTGGCTGCAGAGAGACACATGAGCACATGGTGCTAACAGCCAGCTGTGAGAACTCCCAAGTTTGAAGTGGGGTGGGGAGTGAAAAGAAGGTTAAAATCAAAATTCAGACGGGAACTGCTAATTCCCCTTTGCATAAGCATTTATCTCATATTCAGCAACGTTGGTGGTATATTTATTTAACATGGATATAGTAGCAACTGGAAAGAATACACTTGACACAAAGTACCACCTGCTCTTGTTCATGTATATCATTGTGGTGGTAATTTTAGACCTCAAATAATAAACTTACTTTGGACATCTGTTTAAATTATAGCTCTGTGGGGGTTTTTTTAATGAGTGATACATGGGGAATGTACCAAATAGGGTAGAAAAAGACACATGCAGATGAGAGTTTCAAAGGTGGGAGATATTACCAGCAACAGCACACTCTATTCAGTATCCTATATTTTTTTAAATTTTTTATTTTTAACTCCAACTTTTCAATTAAAGCAGTGAGTCCTGGGCTTCTCCCCCGCCAGTTCAGACTGCAGAACTGCTGCTTTACAAGAAAGTGCTCGGAAGGCAACATAGGCCAGCGCTGCAGAGTTCAGTTATGCGTCTCGGCATCACGGAGTCTACATCCCACCGCGGTAATGAGAGCTGCCCCTTTGCCGCTGCCATCTTCGGAAAGAAGGAATGTCACATCACATTTGGGTGCCAGGTCTTTTACAGTTTGGTGCATGATCCGTGAAAAGCTGGAAGGGAAACAGAAAGGATTTTTAAGGATGGTTCCTCTGCCAGTCCACAGATGGCTCCAGAACATAGGAAAAATGTTTTTTTGAAAGATGGAGTCCAAAAGCAACTGTTCCAAGCTTTGCACCTGTTAAGGTAGATTCATTCTGTTTTGCTACACAGCAAGTATGAGAAGAGAGTTCCTCTACAACCTGTGTAAATGTATGGAGCTGACTACTCATGGATGGAGGAGTGAGAGCACATGGCCCTCCAGATGTTGTGAGACTGCAAACCCTAGCAGTTTTAAGCCACTTTAGTCAAACCTAGATCAGTGGTTCTTAACCTTTGTTACTCGGATGCTTTTGAACTGCAACTCCCAGAAACCCCAGTCAGCACAGCTGGTGGTGAAGGCTTCTGGGAGTTGCAGTCCAAAACTCCTGAGTAACTTAAGAACCAGTGACCTAGATGACAAACCTCGACAGCATCTTAAAAAGCAGAGACATCACCTTGTCAACAAAGGTCCGCATACTCAAAGCTATGGTTTTTCCAGTAGCGATGTATGGAAGTGAGAGCTGGACCATAAAGAAAGCTGACCACTGAAAAATTGATGCTTTTGAATTGTGCTGGAGGAGACTCTTGAGAGTCCCCCGGACTGCAAGAAGATCAAACCTCTCCGTTCTGCAGGAAATCAACCCTGAGTGCTCACTGGAAGGACAGATCATGAAGCTGAGGCTCCAGTACTTTGGCCATCTCATGAGAAGAGAAGACTCCTTCATGTTGGGAAAGTGTGAAGGCAAGAGAAGGGAACGACAGAGGACAAGATGGTTGGAAAGTGTCACCAAAGCTACCAACATTAATTTGACCCAACTCCGGGAAGCATTGGAAGACAGGAGGGCCTGGCGTGCTCTGGTCCATGGGGTCATGAAGAGTCGGACACGACTTAACAATTAAACAACAACAAAGTCAATTATGAAGAATACAGTCTGACAAAAAAAATGGATAGCTACATACTCCCCCCCATCTAACACAGAGAAATGAATGGCAGGGAACTGAGAGAAGAAACCCAGGAGCACATGCAGCATCATTTTCTGCCTTTCTCTTCCACAAATCCACCTCTATTAAGTTCTAAAAAGCATCTGTGCATAAACTACGTAGCTAGTTCCACTCATTTAGCAAGAAATGGGAATTAAGCAACCCCTCCAGATTTATGCATCTCCCATCCTCAACCCATGTTTATTCAAGCAACCAGTGCAATAGAGATGGAGTACACAGTGGCCATAGGCAACATGTTCTTGTATCTGGACGCATATGAGTCTGTGCATTTCACATAAATATGCACACACCACACATCTAAAGGACTATGAGCCCATACTTCTTTGACATATGACAAAAAGAAAGAGTTTTCATACTTACTGTGGGTGAAGTTTATAGAGTGTCCCATCCACGCCCACTGTTATATCCAGGTGATCTAATCCCCTGTTCTCCCTTATTTTATCCACAACAGCAGCCATTCCAGCACCGCAGAGCTGAGCCGCTCTTCTCGACACTGCTCCGCACACTGTCTTGACAATGATACTGTCATCGCAGGTACCATTCAGACCAAGCTGCTGGAGGATTGCACGGACCTGAAGCAGCGCTAACCTATCACTGTTGGGGAGGGGGGGAGAGAAAGACTGATGTTGAACTGATTCCCAAAAGCATCTGTTTTCAGGGCTTTTGTTATTTGGATGGTGGGCGCGGTCATGTTAGTCTTTGGCAGAAAAAAACAACAAAAAGTTACGTGAACCTGAAAAACTAAGACGAGTTCCCATTCAAGATTCCACCCAGCAAGCCAAGTTTGCCCTCCTCCATGATATTCTGTTTCATCCCAATCTCCCCTCTCCCTATTTGCCATTCAAATTTCGGCCAGCGGCACTCCATGACCGCTGAGCATCCTCAGTATTCACTGAACTGTTGTGGGGGGGGGGGAGATGAACAACCCTGTTAGGCTTCCCTGCTTTTTTAAACATGTAGTATTGCTGTAAATCTTTTGCTTGCTTAATCTATTCCCCATGGCTCTAATTCATCATCAATTGTATCGCCAGCAGTGTCTCACTAGATACAACAGAGCTGAGTTCTGACTTTATGTGTGTAGAAGCAAAATTACATTGTAGTGACACCTACAGACAGAGTCAAGTATTACAGAATTATTAACGCAGGGCAGGCAGTATTAGTTGACATTCAAAAAATAGAGGTGGAATACCATGAAAGATGGTATGATGTCAGTTTACACACAAAGATGGCTGATGTGAGTTTACACACAAACACTGTGTGTAAACTCACTTCAGAATATGGAGTACAATTGCAATTATTTTCATGGATTGTTGAAAGCAGTTGTTCATAAATACAGCTTGATAATGATCACTCACATTTCACTTACCTTTCAATCTGTGAAAGGAACTTTGTTTCAAAAATGCTCCTGGTTTTCAATGTCTCTGAAATTTGACCTCTGAAGAGGAACCCTCTTTTAGTGAAGTCAATCAAAATGTTACGGACTATTTCTCCCAGGTACATTCCGCTAATCATCTTCTCATACCTATAATCACAGACAGAAGGACCAGCTGAGAAAGAAAGGATGCTCATGAGAACAACCAGAAGGAGTGGACTGGTAGCCTGTCCTTAATCAGAGGAATGCTTGCAGAAGTGGAAAAGGTCTTCCCCAGAGCCTTCGCTGCTTCTATGCACCTGGGCTCCGAAGACAAGCATTCCTGCAAACTGTATGTTTCTTGTGGGGGCCAAATCTTAGGAACCTCCATTATGGGACAGTGGTGCACCAGACCGATGACTGGCACCTCTGCTGGAGCAAGTGGCCACAAGTGTCAATTCACATGCCTCACTGCACTTCAATAGGAAATACCTTTGCTTGCCAGCGTTTAAAGAGTATTCATCAACAGTTTTGTCATAGATCGTCCTGATGTCATCTAGGCATCCGTTGTCCCCAAAGGCACCCCACTCCATGTTCACGCACATTCTTCCTTGTTCTCCCTCAACCATCTCTATATTTCTCATTTCCTCCATGTAACATGCATTGCTGCCAGTTCCTAAAACAAGGAATGCATCTAATTCAGTACCAACACAGGAACACTTACTGCTACCCTCAAAAGACAGAAACCCAACACAAATGCCAGAATGCTGAACTCATAGGGTGATCTTGGGCCCGTCACTACCTATCCGTATAACATACCTCACAGAACTACTGTGACGATCCCATGTGGTAGCAGACCCTGGTACCCTACTTCAAATCCCGTCAAGGAAAGGAAAATAAAAATGTAACAATGAAGCAGTAAAATACCTAAATTATGACTAGCCACAAGTAGCCTTTGGCCTAATTTTAAAAGGCCTCTGGAAATGAGGAACCCAATGATCTTAAAGGGCATGAACAAGACACTTTTCATGGCTGCCTGCTACATGGAAGAGGAAGGAAGGAAGGAAGGACTTCAAATCCCGTCAAGGAAAGGAAAATAAAAATGTAACAATGAAGCAGTAAAATACCTAAATTATGACTAGCCACAAGTAGCCTTTGGCCTAATTTTAAAAGGCCTCTGGAAATGAGGAACCCAATGATCTTAAAGGGCATGAACAAGACACTTTTCATGGCTGCCTGCTACATGGAAGAGGAAGGAAGGAAGGAAGGAAGGAAGGAAGGAAGGCCAAGGAAAATCACCCCTTGACAGAAAAAAGGGTTTACCTCGGATTTAGTGTATTTTGAACATAAAAATAAATATAATCATGGGGGGGGGGAATAAAAAAACAAATGAATGAAACCACTTTGAAACAGTATGATTTATTGTGAGTTTAAAATCAATAATATTGCACTTCTTCCCCCCTACCTACCAAAATTAAAAACAGATTTTTCTGTTGTACATACCCACAATAAGTCCAATTTCACAATTGGGATCTTCGTAGGCACAAGTCATCATAGTCCCAACAGTATCATTCACGACTGCCACGACATCCAGATCAAATTCCTTTGAAAAAAAATGTGATACTGCAATTGCTTTTACTGAATCGTATGAAACAGTGTTCACTCTTATCAGCTCATGTTCTGGGGAGGCGAGCCCATGTCTACCAATTACAAACAGCTGAATAATCAAGGAAACACCATTTTGTTGTCAATCCTACCAATGTATCTTTCCTGCTGATGCTCTAACTTGCTGGTACGTTTGGGGCACAACCTCTGTTATATCAAACAGCTAAATTAATCCTATGTCTGTTATCTCTCAGTACCCTTTATCATTTAATTATGCAGCAGTTGGTGCATTCGATTTAGAAGTTATGGGTTCAAGTCCTTAATACATGAGGAAATTCAGGGGATGACCTGGGGGCAGTCATTCTCCGTCTGGCTACTCTCACAAGATAGCTGTGAGGAAAAGGTAGGGAGGAGGAAAGCCAGGTGCGCTGGAGAAAAGGTTCATATTACAACAACAAAACAATCTTGTAACATTTTATTCTACCCAGATGAGTTCTGCTTAATTTGTACTTATGAAAAAGTACATCGAACAATTTAGAAATGGAGGGAGGCATAAGCATATAATTACATTGTAACCTTCTGTTAGGAGATTCATACAAAGGTAAAAAATGAGTTACAGAACAATTGCTAACAGTTCTTTCCTCAGTTCCAAAAATGGGATGTACTCAGACTTATTAACTGCCCACCTACTGTGTCTGAGCAGCACCCGACAAGGGTGCTCTACTGATAAAAAAAAAACGTGGGGCCCAGTAGAAATGAGAGGAGCGAAACTGCCCTCTCTATTGCAGCCTCAAAACTGGATCTGGAGGACGGGTAATTTCTTCGCTGAAATAGTCAAGAAGAGAAATTCCATTGGGACAGCCACAGAACGTACAATTTAGCACACTAACTCGAATCAGATTGGTCTCTTTTAGATTTTCACAGAAACTTTACTTTTGTTAGAATCTCTTTCACTTTCCATCTCATTGATTTTTCCCATTTTCGCCAATAACAGATAGATTCAGCATTAACTCCCCATCCCCATCAACAATTGAAACTTTTCAAGCAATTAAAAAGAATTACTAAAATGTCTGCCACTAGATATGGACAGAAAGCTGATCTGTGGTTTTGCTGTTGTTAGTCCACACAATTATGTGCAATTGATTGGCAAGGATTTGTAATAATTGTTTTTAAAATGCCGCAAAAAATGTATTTTTCACCTCCCCAGCAAAGAAATTTCACTGATGAAAGTGGGATAAGCAGGAGTAGATTTTTCTAAGGCTGCAAGCTCCATTCAGTTTTTGGTACTCAACACCATTCCTGGACGGATGAATTCTCAGCACGTGTTTTTTACACTAGGCTCCAGATGGTGGATCTTGGGGTTTAGTTTGGGGGGAAAAAAAACACCAAAGTAAATATCTCAAGTAAAGCCTGAAGCCTGCTGCAACAGCACTAGGTTACTGTATATCCTATAATCCCGTTGTATCACTTCAGTTATGCTGAGCCACCCTGGTCTAATTTTATGAGAGCCACTAAAAGGGTGTAAGATCTGCACAGAATATTTTTGCATTACCAGCACTTAAGGATGGCATTATAAATTGTGCTTAGTCTTTCTGTGGTCAAACACCAGCCTGAAATGACCTTCAAAATATCTTTTTATTTTTTTAAGCCATAAAACGAGATCACTGGTGCTGTGTAATGTATTGTCTGATGCTGTCAGAAATCAACACAATGTCTTGTTTCCATTTAGTATCTTGTTCCCATTTTTCAATTATTCTCAGTTCAAGACATGTCACAAAGGTGGCTTCTGGATAATAGGCTGGATCCTGTCTGCAGAATTCCATTCATAGAATGGAGAACCCTGACAAATTGCACAGGATGTAGTAAAGAAGGCTGCAGCTATAGCAAAGCCACAGAACATCATACCTTGCATGAGTGGAAATGCCTGCCACGCATGTTAGGGTATTTTGCAAGACTGTTAGAAGTGTATTTTCCAACTGCTTAGCATGCCACATTTTAAAAAAAGAATGAAAAAGAAAAAAGAAAGCTGAATACAAACTGCATTACGCCCCTTGTTTACATGAACAGTGGGTCCTCCACAGGAGTAAGTAGTTCTTATCTGGTATATAGTGAAGATTCAGTTACGAATTCTGCCTTAGCTTGTCACCCTAACTGGTCAAGATGTCCGATTCTTGGCTAAGCTGACCAAACCACTTTCCGGTTGCACTGAATCCAACCCTACCCTCCACTTAAGACTACTCCTGCCTTGGACTAACTTAGTGCCAGCAGCAGCTGAGAGTCTGGGCTGAAGAAGGTTTGGATCTAGTCTCACTCAGTTCCTCCTCCACTTTGCCTCGTCGTCTGGCTCTTCTGCCAGCTCAACTTAGCAGTTGGGTCAGCAGAAGCAGTTCTCGGGGCAGATCTATAATCCGCCGGCAAAAAAGGATTGTGGCAGCAGCAGAAGGACAGCACAAGACGCTTCCCCTCCATTCCAAACTCACCTCTGCATATCTGAGTTTGAATTGCAATGCTTGTGCAATGACAAGTATCAGTTTCAATTGATCTTCTCACAGGCATGCACATGTACAAACACACAAACTTCTTTCTTCAATTTAATGAGACAACAGCATTATACATATACAGTGGTGCCTTGCTTAGCGAGTGCTCCGTTTAGCGACAAAATTGCTTTGCGCCGAACTTTTTGCGATTGCAAAAGCGATCGCTTTGCGATGTTCCCTATGGGGAATTTCACTTTGCGATGATCGGTTCCCTGCTTCAGGAACCGATCATCGCAAAGCGACCATTTTCGCACAGCTGATCAGCGGTTTCAAAATGGCCGCCGGGTAAACAAAATGGCTGCCCGCTGTTTTCTGGGACGGATTCCTCGCTTAAAAGGCACTGAAAATGGCCACGCTATGGAGGATCTTCACTGAACGGTGAGTTTTAAGCCCCTAGGAATGCATTAATCAGGTTTTAATGCATTTCTATGGGCTTTTTAATATTGCATAGCGATGTTTTCGTTCAACAGCGATTTTTGCGGAATGAATTAATGTCGCAATGCGAGGCACCACTGTATACATTTCTGCTGTGTTCTTCCCTAGATTGAGAATACGTTCAAGTGTTCAGTAAGGGTTCCTGCATGCCTGTGCTGTTATAAAACACCTTGTCCAATGCCTTTTCTCTCTTTCTCCTCAGTTTCCTAATTTTTCAGCTGCAATTTCTCTTCATGCTGCTTGGACACATACTGTGTCCAATTCCACATTTTTAAAAAAAGGCTTTTGATATCTGGACTTAAACCATTACATCATCATTCTGCTATAGCAAGTTTTTAGACTTATCATACTGCCTTTGCTGTTCAGTCAAAAAGAAGCATATTGTTATAAGTTCTTAACAGCAATAATAACAGAATGGAACATCTACACAGATTTTTAAAATATTTCCACAATTGGCAAATATTGCTACAATATGGAAATCATTTAAAAGATGTTGCTTTCCTAGCATTTTTCTGATCACCTTAATAATTTTAAAAAGTATTCTAAGCAACACAGAAAAAGTCTACACAAAGGTGTGTTAGGGCTCATAACAAACAGTATATTAATTTTGAAATTATGAATACCATCTACTAGTTTCACTTTAAATCGGAAGAAATTAAATGAAGCAGTAATAATGTAAATCTCTTTCACAGAACAAAATGTTTGAGGTATAGAAAAGACAGGTTACACTACAGCACTATTAACACACTGTTTATGTCAACATAGAAAAAACTCACCTCTCTTCTTTTAATTCCTTCCCTTAGCAAATTAACAACATCTTCGCCTTCACAGTCTGTAGCCTTAAAGCCCTTGGTCCAATTCAGAAGGATACCCTAAAAAAGGAGGAAAAATGAGGCAGGGAGACACCCCATTTCTGATTCCAAGCTTCATTCAGATATTAGAACAAACCATAAATACTTAACACTGTCTACAGCAACAGCAGATCCAACCAGCTGGAGAATATGACATTACACAGTCCTCCCACTACAATTAGATGTAACTGTTATACCTGATGCCTATAGTAAGTGTTATTACAGGGTGGGAAGTGCCAGCAGCCTGCACTTGCCCGCTAACTACTGAAAGAGAATGTACATGCATGATGTCCTACTGTGTTTCTCATTCACCACCAATAGCGGATAACAAATTTGAGCCGAAACAGGCACATTGCTAAGGACAGTGATGTCATGCACTTGTTTTCACTGGAGGATGCAGTTCAGCAACACAGGTGGGTGCCTAGCAGCCATTTTCTTGCACTGTCTAGCTTAAATCACTGCTATAGGATTGAATTTATTGCACACTCTGCAGCTGATCTAAGGTCTATCAGGAAGCTTTCCGTGTGCTGCTGGCCACTGTAGCCATGTTTCAGACTGAGGAATCGGGGTGGGGGGGCAGTTAGGCCTTTCCCTCAGTAGTCGAGCTCATATCTTGAATGCAAAAAATCCTAGGTACAACACCAGCATCTCAAATTCTGTCCAAAAATCTGTGACATCATTCGCAACCAGATAGCTAATGTGAAATTATATGGATCCATGGTCTCACCTGAGTTTAGAAAGTCACTTTTTTTTACTGTAACTCCCGATTTTTTGCAGAGATTCTAGGAACAGCTGTCCATAAAACTGACTTTTCCAAGTTGACTGACGGAGTACAAAGCAGTTTCTTACACTCTTACTATGACTGAGTCAACAATCTGCACACACGTCTACCAAGATATTCAGTCTGGTGAGAGATTTAACCTGACACCTGAAATTCCCCTAATCTTAACCAAACACTGTGGCTCAGCATGCAAAATCTTTAGCCCATGAAAGGTTAGTTTTTTCTTGGTATTTGATTATCACTTCTCAAACCAAAAAGAGCATCCAAAAATCCACCCTCAAAATATGAAATGAAAAACTGTATTAGAGAAGCACAAACGATGACTTACAGCATCTAAGCTTGTCTGTTTGCAAGGGAAAGAAAACGTAAAGCCCAGAGGGAGGCGTGCACCTTTTATTCCCATATAATCCAGGAAGTCTGAGATGCAGGAAACGATGTGGTCAAACAGCTTTTAAAAAGAAGGGGGTGGGGGAAGAGAGAAGACATTTATATATGATAAAATCTGTGCATTTCCAAGCTTGGGGGCGGGGGGGAGAAGTATACTGTAAAAGCAACTGCTCTTAATGTTTACTTACCTCTTCTCCGGTACCCTGCATGACCTCGATAGGAATTGCATATATTTTATTGTGCATTTCTACCATTCTCCTTTTACCACTTCGGATCTTCACAAGCAAAACACGGAAGTTTGTTCCTCCAAGATCCAGAGCCAGGAAGTCACCATTTTCTGCAAACAAAACATTTTTGAATGTGTCAAGAAGCTGGGGTCTTTCATTCTGCTACTTTCATTCTGCGGGATCACAAGAGAAAGGTTTGGACCCACACACAGATATACCAGCCTCATTCTGAGGTTCACAACTACACTGGCTTTTAGTTAATGTTTAGAAGAAGCATGCTAATCCTGGCTATCTTTATTTTGCTGAGAAAATGACCAATCTGAATCAGACATGTGCTGGTTTTCTACTTAAACCATCTCTTCCTGGCTCTTAATTGCTCCCAAAAACCTTTCCGCACATCCCAAGTGGAAGAAAACAAAATGGTGCGGCAAAAACAGGCATATCTTGACTTTGGTAATGTCACATACCAACTTTTGCAAACTGTTTTTGGTGGGAAGGGAGGGATACAAGAAAGCAGCCAAGAGGATCAGGACCATCTTCTGGGTTGGACAACTAAACTTTCTTCTAAATAACAGCAGCCATTTAACTGCTCTGTTTTTGTTGTTTTTGTTTTTGTTTTTCAAAACCATCAGATCACAAGTGTCATGGGCTGCCTGGCCCTATGAACGACCTGATACAAAAAGTATTTTCAAAAACTGGACAAGCTGAGCTGCCTGGAAACCGGGTCCTGTGCACATGAGACATGCCAGCAGATGGCGCCAGTGTTTCACCACCACTTAAAGGCTGTGCTCTCATATAAACCAAACCAAAACTAATGCAGAGGTTTGGTTTTTAAATTTAAAAACTCCACTAAAATACCCAGAAGAGGCATGAAAGGCTAGGGAGAAGTTGTTTCATGTGGGAGAATGAGAACCAATTGGGCACCACCTAAAAATCCACAGGAAGTAAGAAGATCATCTGATTCATGTGTTAGCTATGTTCCATCACTCTCTGGTGTGAAACATTCTTGAAATCTGAAACTGCTTTTTGAACTTTGCTGAGTATCAAGAGCAACTGGAGGGAGACAGTTTTTAAGGGGAGGGAGACAATTTACCTTCTGAAAGTTACCTCAGGATATACTATACTCCATAGGAGCTGTAAGAACTTCCTTTTTCATTTGGGATTTTCCCTTAAGCAGTTTTTCTCACTAGATAGTAAATTTTCTACATATTTTATCCATTTTTTTAAAAAAATTGTTTTCTTGAATTCAAATTACTACATTGTTGTTTTTATGCTTCTCTCTAAGCTTTCAGTTCCTTTTAACCCATACTGGAAAAGCAGCGTATCATAAAACTATTATTTTGAATTACAGTACTACTGTTGTGTAATAGTTTTTAAAATAAATAAAACAAATCAGTAGGATCACAAGGAAAGTATATGTCTCCAATCAGTGGATCCCAGACTTAATTTTTTAAAATTAAAAAAATCTTCATTTTGCATAAAGAAATACAATTTGACTCTTCTAAACACTGCTTCAAAGACTAGAGAGCTACCTGTCCCATCCGGCGTGCTGCGGACAAATGTAGGCAGCATTTTGACTTTCGCGTGGTCATGTGATTTCTTCCGGAGGCCGGCTTCAATCTCGATCCGCATCCGTTTCTTCACCTGAAGCAGCTGCTCATGTGTGAGCTTGAACTCAGCCAGGGTCTCGTTGATCAGCCGATGCTGCTCAGCCAGCCTGTATGCGACCGCTGTCACCATGGCAGCACCTTTGCCACTGCCACTCTCAGAGAGCAAGAACCGCACATCTGAGTCAGGCACTAAGCGGCGCACCGTTTTGTGCAAGCGCCTGGAGTACCTGCAGAAAGTGGGGAGGAAACCATCAACTGGAAGGTCCCTTTAACTTTTGCTGATGTTTAAACCGCTATTAAAGGGTCTATCTGGCGCAGCTGTCTCTAATCAGGTGTCCTTCACGTGATGTGACTACAACGGCCATGTTAGCTGGGGATGACAGGAGCTGTAGTCTAAAACCTACACTTGTAGGTTCTCAGATTGAAGACCAACCTCGTCATCTGTGCAAGCCGAAGACAGAAAACGAGCACGTACAAGCAAATGCTGACAGAATTTCAGAAGGATCAGTATTCCAAAGAGACTGGGAACACTTTCCAATGGACTGATTTCGCAGTACTCAAACAATATTTGCATAGAGAGCTGTGGTTTTCAAAAAATATATATAAAATGGGAGTCTGAGGGTGCTGGTGAGCGAAACATGGCAAAGTAGCTCCTCAAAACTGTCAGAGCTGGGGACTTTTTGAGGAATTAAAAAATAATAACCTAATTCCAGGCTAGGGGATGATGTGTGCTGAGGAGGTCCATTTGGGCCCTGAAAGCACATTTTGCCCACTGCTAGTATACAGGAACCATGCTTGTACACTGGAGGACATAGTTCTTCCCAACGCCAGCTTTGCCATCACCAAGGGAGAGGCTATGGTATTCAGTTCGTCTATAGCAGTAGTTTCCAACCTTGGACTGGATGTTCTTGGACTGCAGCTCTCAGCAATCCTGGCCAGCACACCTAGTAGTGAAGGCTTCTGAGCGTTCTAGTCCAAGACCATTTGGGGACCCAAAGTTGGAAACCACTGACTGATCTATAGGCTCCATCAGGGGACCCACAGTTGGAAACCACTGACTGATCTATAGGCTTCCTCTGGACATATCTATGGAGCAAAGTGGGAGCCAATCAGAGAGAAGAAGCCCTGCCAGCTCCCTAACACACTAGCAACTGGGACATTTAAAGGCTACTCTGCCTCACGAGTGCCATTTACATGAAATTTGGTTCTACCTAGCCAAGGACAATGTTAAGAGGGCATCTACCTGTAAGGAAGGAGACTGTGACATTAGCCACTGATTTAGTGGAAGAGTGACCTTACATTGTCCTCTAAGGCCCAGTCAAACTCTACATAACAAAGGGATGGGTGTGTGTGTCCAGCATGACTTTTTGTGTGGTCTGGCAGTGCCCTAAATCTAACCTATTCAGCTGCTTCCGACTACTCCAGCATGGAGCATTAACGAACTACTTTCAGTTTCCATGAACTGTTTTGCCTATTTAGTTCATCTCCAGATGATATCCTGATGTGCCACATATCTGACCTTTGGTAGAGGCAGTTCCCTACCAAGTGCCCAGCTGTAATGATGGGAAAAGCACAGGATCTTACTGAGGATGCATCTTGTAAAGGGAACCGTCAACCCCGACAGTCGTGCGCAGACGGCCAACCCCTTTATTCTCCCGCAGCTGGTTCAGGATCGCTCCCAGAGTTGCAGCCACCAGGTTTGCAGACCGGAAGGAAACAATCGTGCACACATGATGAACAGCGATGCAGTCTTCATGGGAAGGCTCAACCCCAAGTCGGGTCAGGATCTCTTTGGCTTTTTGCAAGCCTTCTTTACTCCTAAAGACAAAAATGGTAAGAGGGAAACAGATTAAGATATTCTAAAGTTCCCAGCAAGGCAGCATGCTCTGATGTCAGCTTAAGGGAGGGTCAGTAAGAGTCTTAGAACAAATTACCACAGTGGCCCGTATCCAAGATGATGCTGGCAGCCACAGTGGGATATCTGAACAGAGTGGCAGACTAGGACCTAAGAGACCGGGGTTCAAATCCCCACTTCCCTGTAGAAACTCATTAAGGATGTCATTGGTAAAACCACTCCTCAAACATCTCACATATGCTGAAAACCCTACCAGAGCTGCTATATGTCAGGTGCAGTCTGTCTAAAAAGTCAAGTCAAATATATTAAAGATTCAGGAAACAAAACAAAAAAATACTCGCTTCTATGTGCCAAAATTATTTCTGGGGCCATTACAAAGAGGGTTTTGTTTTAATCTGTCAGGCCAACAGGGCAATGCAAAATGCAACAAAACAGTCTGCTGTAATTCAGATATTCAAAGATTCCCAAAAATGATGTATATATTACACAGAAAGAAAATATTGATGATATTTGACCTTCTTCAACTCTGACCTCTGTCATTTTTTTTGGAAACCTAAAAAAGGTTATTGATGCTATTCTAAGGAAAACATGAAAAAGTAAAAGAGTGCCCTGTTTTTAAAAACTCATCCAGAAAGCTACTGAAAACTATACCCCCTAATGTAGTGATTCTGTGAAGGCATAGGAAAAAAAACCTCAAAACAACTTACTTCTCTATGGCGGAAACATGTTTAGTTTCTAATTTTCCTTTGGTTAGAAGTTCGGGAGTAATTCGCCCCTCAAAAATCAGACCTTCTTTGGCCATTTTCACAAGGATAAGTCTGACAAGTTCACCCATATACATGCCACTGACCATCTTCTCAAAGCTGAAGAGAAAACAAAGCAGCACAGAAATAGAAAGCATTCAGTTACTTTCATTATTAATTTCCAGGTGTGTAGCCCAATCCTATATGTATTTACACATCGTTTTTAGCCAGTGGTTCAAATCCATACCAATGCACAATGTGTCTGTACACAGTTGAGAGCAAGTCACTCTCTTCCCGCCCAACTGATTCTCATACATACACTGTGGAGATGATAAAATGAGGTAAGAACAACAGGCGAGGAGCAAAGAGTCCTTTGCACCAATGAAAGGCATTTCCACAAGTCACAATAAACCACAAGCAGCCAGTATTATTGCAGGAGAGAAAACAAACTATTTTAAGCAAGACTACTTGCAGTTAGAAGCAATAATGACATAGTCTCAATTACAGTTGCTTCCCAGGATTAAGTGAACCCCGATCAATCTCTCTGTCAAATTCAGTCCGGATGTCTTCTAATAAGCCATCATCCCCAAAAGCTCCCCATTCAGTATTGATGCACATCCGGCCTTCGTCGCCTTCCACAAGATCAATGTGTCGCATTTCCTCCATGTAACAAGCGTTGGTGCCAGTACCTTAAAAAGAAAAGAGAGAGATTTATCAGCAGACTTGAAACAAAAATGCTCTATAAATGTCAATGTCCTGTATTTGTTATTGCTTAAAAAAGGAATCAAATATTAATACCAATAATCAAGCCAACTTCACAACGCTGGTCGTCAAATCCACAGGTCATCATTGTCCCTACAGTGTCATTGACAACTGCCATAATGTCCGCATCATAATCCTTTAAAATAAAACAGAAAAGTTCTTAGTGTGACACAATTTCATTGACACACTGTGACATGCATATGCTACTTTTCACTGTGGCACAGAATCTCAAGCTAGGATTGAGTAGGATTCTTCTGCTATAAAACTACTTCTGTCCGTGAAAGCACGAAGGCGATGTTTCCCCTACTCCTGTGCAGCCCCACATGCCCTAGAAATCTGCTCTGGAGGGCTGAGGGACCTTCCAGACCAGGCAGCTCCAAGGATTAAGAGAGTAGAAGGAAATTCTGTCACACCAGCAACCAGGTGAGGCTTCACTAAATACTATTTAATGAGAATTTTTAAAAACCTAAATCCAACTGCTAGTCCCAACGGAAACAGACCCATTGGATCACTGGGATTTATAAAAGCAATGACTCATGATTCAACAACCGATTTAATGGGTCTGCTCTACTTGGGACAAACAAGTCTATAGAAGCCTTGGTCTGCTAATAGTACTTGGCTGTTCTTGTTTTTCTAATGTCCTTATTACCACAAACTGAGAGCTATTATCCTATACATTCTTTTCTTCTCAAAAAGTTCCTGGCCCAAAAAATGAAAGTCCCTGATTTGTGACTGGGATGAGACTACGTCACTTCTCAACCAAAGATAAGCTCTAGTATACTTGCTAAGTAAGGAATATTGCATTTTATGTCACTACTTCAGGTGCATTCCTATGCACACTGAAATGGCAGTACAGTATGTCCTATTTCATAAACTAACATATAGGTAAGAACATACAAGATTAAGCAGCAAGACTTGCAAGGGTCTACTCTGCCCAGAATAGACTGTCTGAACCAAAGGTCTCATTTTAATGTTCTTCAGGCTGTGGCTACATCTGGCATACAATATCCCCTGTAAGAAGTTTTTGATAGCCCAAAACTGACCAAGATTATCAGCTTTATTTTTTTTCTTGGCTTACTATTTTTCTGAGAGTGAAAATACCATGAAACAAGCTAGCATTTGTAATCTGAGAACGATGCTGGGAGGGCTCTGGAAAGGATGGCTCATAATGTCAATAAATAGCAAAACATATTCCAAACTGGCAAGCTGGTACATGCATATGTAAATTACAAGGCACTCTTACCCCACGCTTCTTTATTGCTTTGTTTAGTAACTTTACTACATCAGCTCCTTCAACGCCACTAGCTTTGAAACGTTTCGTCCAGGTTATCAGAATTCCCTAGTAAAATTAAACAATACAAATGCAAGTCAAAATAAATGAGATCCCGTTTCTTTCAGTCAAAACACACCTTTCTAGTGTCCTTTTAAAAGTAAGCAGCTGTTACACATGGGGAACACTGTTCAATTTCCTACAGGAGAACACACCCACATTTCATATGGACAAACAAACATAGATGGACATACTGTATATGCTTATGCACACACCAACAGGGCTCACATTTGTTAGAAGCATAATTCTCCATTTTCAAGGCACCTTCATTATGGAATTACAACTGTCCTGCCTGAACAGACATGCATCTACTTCATTTCACACATGGGGTTCCCAATGGCTTCACACTGAGAGATAGGTCTGTGGGTCTGCCACTTCTACAGTCCCACGACACTGCATTCTCCTAGTCCATCCACTGAGAGAGAGATGCCTTAATTCCTGTGTTTTATGGCAGCTTCCACATGCACTATTGCGGTGGTTCCCAATCTTGAGTATCCAGATGTTCTTAGACTACAACTTCTAGAAATCCTGATCAGCAGAGCTAGTGCTGAAGGCTTCTAGGAGTTTTAGTCCAAGAACATCTGGAGGGGCCTAAGCTTGGCAACCACTGCAATGATTAATAACAATAATCCTAATGATAACAATCAATCACCTGCAGTAGCAACACAGACAAATCTGCTAAATGCTGTTTTAATACCATCTGGCTCTTTTAGCTGGGGAAGGGCCATAGCTCAGTAGTACAACACAGACTTTGCATGCTAAAGGAGTCATGCACAATCCTTGCCATCTCTAGGTAAAGATGGGAAGTGGTCTTCCTCAGAAACCCCAGGGAGCTGCTGTCAGGCACCAGTCTTCCCCAAATGGATGTCCTCCAGAGGTGATGGTTTATTACTTCCATCACCGCCAGCCAATGGTCACGCTGGCCAAGAATGTTGGGGCTTGCAGTCCAACCCACTTAGAAGGCAACAGTTTGGCAAAGGCAACTGTAGACAGTACAGTGTCAGTCAGCTCAATGGTATAGGGCGGCTTCCTGCGCTCCCTTCGCATAGGAATAAAGTTGCAGTGTACGCTTACCTCATCAAGCTTGGATTGCCGACATGGAAAAGAAAATGTGAAGCCAACAGGTAACTTCTTGTCCTTGATTTCTTGTTTCTCCATAAAATCTCCTAAACATTCAGCAACATGATCAAAAAGCTGAAAATAAATAAAGGAAAATAAAATGACATTGGAAAGTCAGATTTTAAAAATGCCAGCATAGCTACATATCCAGCCTCACAATCTGTTTCAAAGGACAGAGATGTAATCAGAGAATCCATATCAATCAAGAGTATTTTGGTAGGAGGTCTGTAGGTCTGCAGTGCAGGGGAGGAGAGCCTTGCAACTTCCATTGGCTCAGCCAAGCAAAACCAATTGAAATGTGAAGCCCCAAAACATTCAAAGGGCCACACATTCCCCAGTCCGGCTGTAGAACATTAGCCAGCTGAAGAACACTGATATGCATTTCAATGAAAGCTAGGGGCAGGGTGGGGGGAATCCTCCTTTTAAGCCATGATCCTCTGCTGACTTCTCTGTGAGCAGTCCTTATGTATTTCAGTAGCAGCAAAGCTACTGCAATCCTAAATTTTATCTGCCTGTCAGCCTGGCTAAAATCAATTGGATGGTAAACAACAGGATGCACTGCATAATGTCCAGTGTAAAGTCTAATGTTTCTGATTTTCTAACCTCAGTTAGGAGAATATAATGTTTTGAGGACCACATGGCCTTGTGCTGATTTTTTTGTTTGTTTGTTTGTTTTGAGAATATAAAAATGTCACTATCTCACTCACTTTTGATTCCTCTTCCCTTTTGCTCTGAGTTAACTACAGATTGGCACACATGTCATAATAGCCACAGATTACAGTACAATATTTCCAAAAAGGAAGGGATATTCACACAGAAATGGATGTGTTAACTCCATATCCTCATCATTATCGAACTGCAAAGCTGGAAGGGACCCTATGGATCATCAAGTCCAGATCCTGTCAAGGAGGCACAACAGGGAATCGAACTCCCAACCTCTAGCTGTGTAGCCAAATCCCTAAGCCACTGAGCATTCAGAAGTTCAAATATGTGCTACTAATGGGATTTGAACCCACCAGGCTGCATCTTAAGGACTAGTACCTTAACTGCAACACCAACCACTACACCAGTCATACACTAATACCCTAAACTAGTGGTTCCTAACCTTGGGTCCCCAGATTTTCCTGGACTAAAACTCCCAGAAGCCTTCACCATTAACTGCGCTGGCCAGGATTTCTGGGAGTTGTAGTCTAAGAACATCCAGGGACCCAAGGTTGGGAACTGCTGCCATAAGGGGACTAGCAACTCTTGATAGCTATCATCCAGCTTCTTTTTATACTGTGCTTTTAATAACAGAGTGACATTGGATTGAGATGACTAAAATCCCTATGAACATGTATATATCTTTACAACTGAACAACATTTGTGCATCACACACAAAAAAGATGTAAATCAGATATTCCCTGTTCAGTCCTGAGCTGCCATGGCTTTGTGACGCTGGAAAACTCTCTCTTTTTTTCTGTGATATTTCTTAATCTAACATCAAGCTTTCTCCAGTTATGGGATGGAAGTTTGTTTCATACTTCCTAGAAATCTGGCTTTCTGGAAATAACTGGGATAATACTGGTCCATCTTTGCTCAACTAGTTGTATGTTTCTCCCACACAGCGCTTCTTCTCCAGCTCTCTATTTTTCCAATCATGCATTTTCAACTTTGCAGCTCCTTAGTGACCTAATCACTGTGAATCATAACCAGAACGCTAAATCCATGCAAAGTGCAATGTCTTCTTTCATTTTTTCAAAGCATAGACCCATATGTTGTTCAACGTTTAATATATACAGGATGGCATCGCTGGGTGGTTGTTGTTTTTAATGCAGCACTATGCAGGCAAATTACTTACAGCTGATGGAACAAATCATTATGGTTTTCAGTCCTGCTGTTCTTTCCATGCTATGAATTAGGTATGGCAAGCACTGCAATACTGATGTGGGACGTGGTAGCCCAGTACAACAACACGGCCAAGCTATGGAGCATCAGAAGAGCTTTTCCAGTATTTCAAGCTTCCACCTGCTTATTGCAGAACACTGCAGTGCTCCAAATAAAATTCTTTTCTTTTACCTCATTTCCTCCTCATTTACTCAAAGAGAACACAATCTTTCAGGAAGCTAGCTGAGAGCTCAGAAAGCCTTGCATTCAGTGGCCTCTGTGTAATTTCTATGTAAGCCTGCTGGCAACTAACGGTATGCTCCAAAATGGAACATATCAATCTTCCCCAATCTTGGACAACTCAATGTGCTGGACTACAACTTCAGTCATCCCCAGCCATCATGACCTCCCTTCAGCCAGCAAGGCATCAAGCTGAGACCAATCAACTCCAAGGTTAGGGTTTGACTTTCAAGCTGCAAGCAATGAGAGCAATACAGAGGACTACTTTACCTTTAGTGGTACAAATGACAGCTTAGGCCACCATTTTGATCTAAACCTGGGGAATGGGCCAGTCCTGCCCAACACTTAGCACAAGCTACCATATCTAATGCTGCTAGTTTCTTAGTTTCTACTGTCTCCAAGTTCCTTACATTTCACACTGCACCTAGTACCACAGCAAGAAAAACTGCAAGTGCTTATACAAGTGCTAGTGGAATGGTCTTAGTCTAGCATCTGACTTTAATTTGTTTTGTTGCCAATGCAACTGGACAAGGGGTTACAAAAAAAAGTTCCAAAATCAAGCACACAGTTCAAGACCATTAAGATATAATCAGGCATCTGCAGAGAAAAAGTCTGTGTAATTGCTGACTATTTATTGCTATCAAATTTGTTTTGAATTGCCCAAATGGATAAGCCAAGCATTATATTCTACTGAGCTGAACACATCTGGGAAAGCCAAAATTTCTGGATGGTCAGAAGTTCTCCAACCATGACATTATTACTGAATTATAGGAGAAATAATAGTTGGTCTCAAGAAGAAATCAAGTTTTCTTTCCTCGTCAGTCCAAAATAAAACTAGTATTTACCTATAGCACCATTGAATCTGCTTTCTCTCACAATGCAACAAATAACCATCACAGCTGATGAGGACATTTTCTAATGCTGCATCTGTATGTCTGAATGGCCACGTAGCTGTTTTCAAGAGTCAAAATAGCAGAAGCAGCACACAGAGAGGCTCAAAAGGGGGAGGTTACTTACCTGTAACCATGGTTCTTTGAGTGGTCCTCCGCGAATCCACACAAATGGGTTAGACTGCGCCTGCACGGGACTCCTCAGAATATTCTAGAGCTTAAAGAAACGTGATTAGCAGGACGTTTCCCTGTAATGCGCATGCTCCGCCCGCCCGTAATACCTCAGTTCCGAAATGTCCGTGACCATATGAAAATGTCTTGAATGAATATAAGTATTGAGTAGTCTGAGGTCTAGGATTGGTCGGAGACCACCATCCTTCTTGGGAACTGTGAAGTAACGGGAATAGAAGCCGTTCAGAAGATCATGAGAGGGAACAGGTTGAATAGCACATTTCTGAAGTAGTACAGAAATTTCATCTTCCAGAGCAGGAGAGAAAGCCATGGGTCTGAGGAGACCAGTTGGAGGGAGGTCTACAAACTTTAACAGGCAACCATAACGTATGATGGCGAGCACCCAAGAGTCTTTGGTGATGATAGACCACTCGTTCATAAAAGGTGCCAGCTGGGAATGGTGAAGACCACCAAGTGATGGGATCGAAATATGTATGTATGTATGTATGTATGTATGTATGTATGTATGTATGTATGTATGTATGTATGTATGTATGTATGTATGTATGTATTTATTTATTTATTTATTTATTTATTTATTTATGTATTTATGTATTTATGTATTTATGTATTTTTATTTAATATCCTGCTTATCTGGTTGATTAAGGCCACTCTAGGCGGCTTACAGCAAAAACACACAGAAATATATATATATAAACAGTTTCTACATGGTAAAACACATTTCACAAGATGGGAGCAAACAATGGGAAGAGGAAGGAAAGAAAGCATCAAGAATTGACTGGAGGGAAGGCCTGCCGAAACATCCATGTTTTTAATTGATTTTTAAAGATACCCAGCGAGGGAGCCACGCAAATCTCTGGAGGTGGGTTGTTCCAGAGGCGAGGAGCCACCGCCGAGAAGGCCCGATTTCTTGTCTTTTCCTTCTGGGCCTCCCTCGGCGTTAGGCTCCTCAGCCTCACCTCCTGGCTCGCACAGGCGACATGGGTAGATCTTGGTGGGAAATAGGATAGTCAAAGGTATTGCTTATTCTTCCTAGCGGGACAACAGGAGATCTGCCAACATTGAGTATGAGCCTGTGGTCAATAAGAAGGGGCAGCAGAGGAAGATGGAGGAATAGATCTCTCCTGAGCAGGGGGCTTGTAAGGACGGTAGGACTGGTGATAGGATTGCTGAGAGCTAAAGGACCTGCGCAACTGGTTACATTGGTATCTTGGTTGTTGGACAGAGTAAGAATGAGCCATCTTGCAGATCTTGTGCAAGTTGTCCATTACTTCATCTGTTGTCTCATTAAACAGGCTAACATCATAAAAAGGAAGCTCAATACAGGATCTGGCATCATCAGTGATTCCTGCTGAGCGCAGCCAAGCATGCCTTCTAAAGGAAATAGCAGATGTCATGGCCTTTGAAGCCGCATCAGCCGTATGATGGGATGCTAAGCACTACTGCTTAGCCAACGTAGTCGCCGCCAGGTGAGAATTGAGGGCACTGTTTCTAGTCTCCTCAGGAGCAGCTTGGAGAACTGGCAGCATCTTGTTCCATAGTTGTCTCTGGTAGGCTCCCATGGCAGCCTGGTAGTTTGAGACCCTCATAAGAAATGAAGCTAGGGAATAGAGGTGACGACCTAACACATCTAGCTTTCGACCTTCCCTGTTAGTAGGCGTGGCCTTAGAACGATTTCCTGCTCATGATTGATTAGATTGTACAATGACAGAAATAGGGGACCGGTGTTTATTCAGAAATGTAGTTTCACTGCCATGTGTTCTATAATGATTTTCAACACAATCAGAGATCTGGAGAAATGTTGATGGTTTGTCTCACGACTCCTTGATGAGGTCTAGCATCACTGGAATAAATGCCAAACTCAGTGGGGGGGGGAGTTTTTTCCTGGTTTATATCATCGAAGGCAAAGTCTTGTCTGGGAGGAGGTGCTTGTTCTATATCCAGTTCCAATGATTTTGCCATGCGTAAAATTAACTGAGAGTAAGAGGTGAAGTCCTCAGAAAGTAATGGGAGATGAAGGTCAGCCACATCAGAGTCAGGGGTTGATAGATTTGAAGGTGACTCTCTAGAAGTCTCTGAAGACGGGTCACATTCAGAGACTGATGAGACCGAAGGACTCCTGGTAAAAGAAGGGGTGATGGTGAATGATGGTGCTCTTCCGATACGGAAGTTAGAGCTCGAGGGACTTGAACCAAAGTAGTGGTTTGAGATGAGCGGGAACTTCTAGGAGCTGTGCCCCGACCAGAGAGAGAGTGAGATGTCTTCAGGTGCAACCCCGAGGAAGACAGTGCTGAAGGAGCACGGGAGCACTTCAATGGAGGAGGTTCTTGTTGGGAAGTAACCTCTTGAAGATGACGCTTAGATGTATGTTTCACTGCCAGAGTTTCGAGTTGATAATAGGATCGGTATCAATGTTGGGAAGGTGGTGGCGATGACGACTCAGAAGATGAAGAGGGCGATGCATATACATAGCGGACTCACTTAGATCTCAAATAGTCGCTGGTGTCATAATATGGATCGGGCTTGTCTCCCCAATAGTGATATTGATCGCCACAATGGTCCACCTCCACGTAAAAGGGTTCCTCATACCCTGAGATCAAGCCACGTCAGGATGAGCGAGGAAGAAGAATAACCTCCCTATGATGGGGGTACTACCTTACCGGACAAGTACGATGTCGAGCCAGCGAGATATGACGATGCTTGGCCAATCGTTTATGAGGAGGAGACCGGTGTGGCGAATCCTCCAAATTACAGAGTCATATCACTGTTGCCTGCTCGATAGAAATAGGGTCGAGAACAGGCTGGAAATCACATCAGCCTCAGAATGGCCATGGCTGGGAGACAGGCTCAGTATCGATATCGAAGTCTGAGCCTGTGGAGGCGGTACAGAATTTCCCACCTCAGAAGGAGAATCCAGGTCTGGTACTTCTCTAGATGATTCCTGCAGATCGGGAACAGAAGGAAAATCTGAATCGGTGGAGGGCTTGGACTACTTTAGTTTAACCGTCTCCTTTTTCTTAGCGTTTTTTTTTTAATGGCGATTTCGACACCGAGGCTGAGGCCGATACTGAAGGAGTTTTGGATTTCGACCCTTTAGAAGAGGACCTCAAAGAAGAAGTAGCCAGAGTCGGTTGAACAGCAAACTTGGCACAAGGAGCAGGAGGTGCAGAAGCTACGGTAGGCTCCATAGTAGCTGAGCTCGAAGGGGAGAGTGATTTTTCCCACAAGTACGAACGAAGTCGCTGCAAGTGGTGCTTAAGTGCCGGCTTGGTCAATTTTTTACATTCCAGGCAGGAGTGTGTCTGATGTCTTTTCCCTAAGCAAAATAAGCAGCGATCGTGGCCATCGATAAAGGGAATCTTGTTGGCACACAATGTACGTTGAAAGGGGCCTGACGAGGCCGTAAAAATAGGCGGAAAAGGGAAGGAGGAAATAATTCACGCAAAAACGTCAACGAATAGCAGTCCGAATCAAATACTGTAGATCAATCAAACCGTAGAAATAAACAAAGTCCGTGATCCAGAAATCGTAAATAGGTAGACAGTCCCAAGTCAAAAACCCAAAAATACAAAGAGAGGTTCGCTCTAGATTTCGCAAAAGAGTCCAATCGCAGCGGCGGACATTTCAGAACTGAGGTATTACAGACGGGTGGAGCATGCACACTATGGGGAAACATCCTACTAATCTCGTTTCTTTAAGCTCTAGAATATTCCAAGGAGTCCCGCACAGGCGCAGTCTAACCCATTTGAGTGCATTCACAGAGTCCACAAAGAAGAACTGCAGGCTCAGACAGGGAATTTTGAGATCAGCAAAGACAATTAAAATGGCTACTGCCTGACAAACATGAGCAACAGCCTGCTAAGCCCTATAGCAATGCTATCCCAATTCAGATCCCCCATTATTAAGGCCTAACTTGGAAAAGCAGGAGAAAAGCCAATGGATGGTCTAAAGCAGGCTAAAAGAAAACAAAAAATGCAGCCTCAATGACAGCAGATTGTGATACCTGTAACTTACACAGGAGCTTTTAGTGGAGGGATCAGAAGAACCTCCTCCAGCCTTTCTTGGCATCACCAACAATCCATCTAGCTTCTACAGCCTGGGCTGCGTGCCACAAAATGTATACATGTGGACAAATATGTAAGTTCAAGAGCAAGAGAGAGATCTTTCATTGTAAAGAAACGTAAGAGCTCTGCAATACAATGAAACAGAGCAGTTGGGTACAGCACCTGAATCTGCCTCCAGAGACAAAAACACCAGTTCCTGTTCTCTCCATATGAAGAATCATAGGTACATCTGCCTTAGAGTATGTAAGAGTCTTAAATCCTTTTAGCAAGGTTTTCAAAAAGATAGTTGCTATTTATTTTCGTACATTTCTATACCACCTTTTCATCAATGACCTTAAGGCAAGGTGTACAATTCCTCCCCAAACCCATTTTATTCTTTCACCAGTTCTGTTAGTGAGAGATGGGGTGACTGGCCCAGTGTAACTCTGTTGGCTTCATGGCTGAGTTAGGATTTGAACCTGGCTCTTTTGAGACCTAGTCTGATATTCTGTCCCACTACTGAGAACCTGGTCTTTCTACCTGCTTTCCTGATGTAAGCTGCCTGCCAATTGAACTAGCCATCACTACACAGTTACTAATTCCATTTTTAATTAATAATCAGGTTAGGGGGGAAACACAAAATGTCACTTTCAAAAGTCAGCACAAAAAATGCTTCTCTGCTAGGAAACAATTAAAAAAAACTGGTCTCGGAACAGACTTCGTAAGGTTTTCATAAATGACATTTAAAAGAAACATTCTAGTTCCCTTGAATATTGAGGTGCAACACAGTACATGTTATTTCCTTTGAAAATAATGTTACCAGAAATTCTAGCAGTGTTTGATTTAAAAAGCAGTATGCTTAATATTCAAAATACAGATAAAGAACATAAAATTATATACACCAACCCACCATCCCACATGTACACATATTATGAACATTTTCAAAGAGATCTCTTACCCGGGTTCCACTGCCATGCATAATATCTTCTGGTGTTTCGTAAATTTCGGTTTCCATTTGCACTGTCTGCTTTTTCTCGTGGGAGACTTTCACTCGTAAAATGCGAAAGAAAGATCCCCCAAGATCCAGGGCAATGAAATCTCCCTTCTCTGTGTGAGAAGAAATAGGATGTCATTTAAGTACCAAATCACCCTAGCAGGTAATGAATCTTTACTATTCAACAAAGTAACCCCCAAGTAGAAGAAAGATACAGTATTGAGACAGAAAATTGAAAGTTGCACTATCAGCACTCACCTTTTGACACTGCAAATATATTTTGTCAACTGAAGTAGTGGCATTTTTCCCATCCTATCTAATCTGACAAACAAAGATGGGAATCTTTGCTTGTTTATAGACAGATTATCAATTAACACAGTATTTGGGATAAGATAAAAAGGTTGAGCAGATAAAGAATACACACAAACACTGGCAATCAGGTACATGGGCATATATAACACAGAAACACACCAACTTCCTTTTCTACAGATACTTTTGAGGCTGTTCATGAGTCCACAGAAAAATCAGACTGCAACCCTACACAGTGGGACAAGCAATGTGCAAACCCACCCACCTCAATTATCCTCCATTACAAAAACTGCAAAAAAATGATTTTCCACTTCTCAAAGTCTCCAGGTGCGGTGGTTTTGCAGAAAAAGGGGGGGGTAGGGTCCATCCATCCTCCAACGAAGATGTGCCCTGGCATCTCATCAATTAGTTGCTATTAGCTGCAGAAAGTTATGTTAACCTTAAGTGAACACCAATAGGACTCTAGTCACTGATTCACATGCACTAGAAAGCCACCTTCTATATACCATACACCAATATTAAATTGTGGGGGAAAATGGAACTTTCTCTAACATTCATAGTACCCTGATTGTGCCTATGTGACATTATTTGCAGTTTTTATCACCATATTTTAATTCACAATCCTGCCAATTATCCAGTCCTGCTTGAGCAGCCATGCTTCCTTGATGAAAGAAAAAGTGTACATGTAGCTTTCAGTCTAGGAACCCACATTTCCAAACACCATGCGTTCAAACAGAAAATTGTTTTCAAGCAACCTATCTATACAAGCAATCATGCATACTCAGCGGCCAATCATTCCAGGATATAGGAATGTGAAATTTAAGAGATGTATCCCAGAATCCTTTGCACAACCCTTTGATTATGAACTCTCTGTCCTACTTAAATATGAACCCTCTGATTATACATTACAAGGGAGAAACAGCATCTCTCTCCCATAGTGTATTACAATGGTTTGGGGCAGTAAACTATTTCGAAACTATCATTTCAAAATAATGCAAAGAATTTATACAGTGTTGTATGGATAAAACTTGAAAAATGTCACAGTTTAGAAAGAGTAGCTCGCATTAAGTCAAGCATACAAATAGGATTTATTCATTATAGTCCATTGCTTGCGAAAACTGAGCCATTACCTTAAACATAAATCAAGGAAAAACAAACACTAGGACAGACGGCCTTTTTTTGCCAGAAGTAAATGAGTGCTAGAAAACACTTCAAACAAATGCTGCTCTTCAAAAATGGCTGCTCCGGTCATATGCAGCAAATTAAAACATAATCTGCAAACTAAAATTGCCTCCCATGTCAAGAAGGCACTTGAAGCCCATCTAGTTACAAACTGCAATTTTGTGTTATGAGCACAAGCACCCTTGAGTCATTTACTTGTTTGTCCCCACCCTGGCTGCATGCAGCAAATCCATTTGCTCCTGGCTACCGATTCTGGTTTGCAAGGAAACGATGGTTTGAGCAACCTCTGGTTTGTTCATCCATGTGCAACACTATGCTGCAGTTCCCAAGAACTTAGAATTCACAGGCAAGGGGAGCAAGCCGAAAGATTCAGTCAGAACACGGTCTTTTATAGAGATACTCGGCTGGCAGACCTGGGCTCTTATCCAGCACAGCGCAATAGTTAAAAAGTGGGACTAGATGTAGGGAGGCCTGGGTTCAAAGCTGTACCCACAACATTTACTAGCTGGCCTCCGAGGAGCCACTGTCTCTCTACCTCACAGGGTTGAAGGGGGGGGGAGAGAAAAGCCACGTGTACTGCCTTGAGCTCCTTACAGGAAGAACATAATGTAACAGTCAAAATTGTATTTTTATGCCAGTGTGGAACAATTGGCACAACTCCTGTTGGTGAACTGCCGAAAGGCAAGAGGTTAGCGCAGGTGTTTGCTAATGTGCTTCAAATCATGCAACCTGGCATGCTACAGCAAACACCCACGTGGTTCCCAGTCAAATTTTCTCACCAAGACCCAGACCCACCTTAGCCTATCTATTTCATTCCACTGAAGAGCGACAAACATTATTTTTCCCTTTACAGGTGGAACACCCCTGCCATGACTGTGGCTGGAACTGTGGTGAGCCAAAAGTGAGATAGGGGTGTAGGCTCTGACTGAGAACAGAGTGTGCACAGAGACGACAAAGCTATTCTATATGGCGAGGTGCCTTTAACATCTTGGCCCTCAGAATGAAAAGAGGATTCCCCAGTGGCTGGCTGTGACCTGCCCGCCAGATGCTTTGTAAATGAGATTGTGTGGATCCATTCCAATTTTGACTACATATTGACTTCAGGGCTATGACGTCTGCCTTGGGTAAGTCCTGCTATGAGGCACCTTTCCAGGTGTGTAACTTGAGGATGTTCATCTTTGGCAGTACCATACAGATTGCTTGTCTCGCCTGTTTGTTTCAGGGCAGCTAAAGGAGGTCTGCCTGGGTGGAATGAAAAATGCGACCAATGCTTTCTGGACAGAGAAACTGTGATACCAATAAGCTTCAAGAAAGCAGGGCGGAATGTTTTATGGAAGAATCTGTTTCTGGATCCAAATATGCTGGGTGATAACTGGACAAATGTGCAGGCATATCCGTATAAAATGTTTGAGCATACAGTGGCAACTCTATTCCAGAGGTTCTGGATGACATACAGTGGTGCCTCGCATAACGAGCGCACCGTTTAATGACGAATCCGCATAGTGATCTATTTTTTGGATCACTAATGCGATCGCATTGCGATGTTTTAATAGCCTAAACATCGCATTGCGATGATCAGTAAGCGTTTTGCTTACCAATCTTCGCATTGCGATGTTTGCGGAACAGCTGATCAGCGGTTCCAAAATGGCCGCCGCAACCATTTTCGCGCGATTTCCTCGCTTACCGAGGCGGCGAAAATGGCGGCGCTATGGAGGATCTTCACATAACGGTGAGTTTTCGCCCCATAGGAACGCATTAAACAAAGTTTAATGCGTTTTTATGGGGTCCCCCCCGCATTGCGATGTTTCCGGATAGCGACAATTAATTTGGAACGGATTAACGTCGCTATGCGGGGCACCACTGTACTCTTATTAGGCACACTAAAGAACGTGCCTTCTGCTTTCTACCACCAGAGGGTAGAGTTCTCAGCTGCTATTATCCTGGCTTTGACACAAATAATATTATTTGCAGACTTGTTGTTTTAAAATTTCTTAGTAAATTTTGTTAGAAACACCTCAAGCATTTCTAAAAACAAAACAGAAAAGCAGGATTCAAATTTCTGAAAAATCAACCAGTAAAAGCTCTGTCGTTTAGGTATCTGGCTGAGGAGCCAAAGTTAAGATTCCCCACTGGGAAAAGCGCCAGCCTGTGTGGCCTTGGTCAAGCTGCACAATTCCCAAGTTCTCCCAGAAGAAAGGAATAGTAAACCACTTTTGAGTATTTTCTACCTAGGAAGCCCTGGAAAGGGTTGCCATAAGTCAGAACTGAATCGATAGTACACAATTATTATGATAAAGGTTTAAACAGTGTTAAACCTCTAGTAGGGACAAAATTATTCAGAAACCATTTGTTTTGTGGCTTATATATTTTATTTATTTGTCAAAGAGTTGATTAAATCCATTCCTTGCCTTTCTGCCACATAAGGTACTCAGTCTGGAGACCAGAACCCCTCAGTAAGTGGAGCAAACATTGTTGTATGTTCAGTAGGGTTTTTTCCTGTCTTGCATAAAGACTGCAAGCAGAAGTTTGTTTGTTTATTTTTAAATCCATCATTTGTATAAACCAAACACCCTGAGCCCAAGACAAGAGTCAGAAGTTTTTTGCTGCTTACTTCAGTCAGAACCTCATCATAATTTACTGCACATTTTCCCCCATCCCCAAAAAAGTTCTAATTTTTGCTACAAACATTACTGACTGATTCTTTCAGTTCCATTCAAATGTTGACCTCTATATGAAAAAGGTGGTAGCCATTAGCTCTCACTATGATAGAAGTAATAACAGTGCATTCACTTTTGTTTTAAGAAATTGCATTCACTTATAATTTGCAACAGCACATCACAGAAGTCGAAATCCATACCTGAGCCATCAGGAATAGACCTTACAAATGTTGGAAGCATCTTCACAGAAGCAGTTGGGTTAAAATCCCTAGACAGCCCATTTTTCATTTCCGACCGAAAGCGACCCATAATATCCAGCAGAGTTTCATCCGAGAGCCGCATGGCATACAAGTATTTATCAATCTAGGGAGGAGGCAAACAGAATAACAGAGAACTTAGAGGTAGCATGGTTTTGTGTGGAGGGAATACAAATACATTTTTCAATGTGGATGTTTAAATTATCTTGAATATTATAATTATTCAATGGTTCTGTTGTTTTAAATTGTTTTAAAAAGTTTGCTCACCATCTTGAGTGTCTTTTTCTACTCTTAAAATAAATATATAGCAAATAAAAACAACACAAGCCAGCATAAGTGTGCATTTTTAATGTTTTAAATATTGATTTAAGGTTTCCTCCTTCCCAATAGTGCATGTCATGAAACAGTAAGTTAACTGTAACAATCTTACTTACATCAGTTAATGATCATGTTTTCCGGTCCCACCCTCTCCTGACCATAAAACCCCAAACTAAATAAAAAGGCCTAGATGACCTGCAAAGCAAACTCTAGGCATTCTCCACAGGAAGAAATGCCTCTTGATCCAACAACGTTGGATAATAGCTGGCCAAATGTGCAGCCATGTCTACAGTATGCAAGATGTTTGAGCATGAAGTTGCAACTCCCTGTGCCTCTTCAATCCAGATGAAGGCCTCTGAGACAACCCTAATTCAGACCATTCTGAGAGTTTGCAGCTCACCAGCAGTACCTTGAGCGCAGCTCAGAAAACAGCACTATGTAGGTGCTGTACATGTACTGCCATAATCAACTACTTTACAGAAATTCAAGAGAAAATTGGACAATTATCTGTCAGATCCGCTTTGATTTGAATTCCTGCACTGAACAAAGGGTTGGACTTGATGGCCTTATAAGCCCCTTCCAACTCAATTATTCTATGATTCTATAGAAGGCAGTCCAGAGCGCTAGTTTCTCATATACCTAATGTCCAGGTAGAACTTTTCTATGCACTTATAGAACAGCCTTTCCCTGACACCAGACTTTTGGTCCATAAAGCTTCATATTGTGTTCTATTGACTGCCAGTGACCCTCAATGGTTTCAGATAGGAGGCTGTCAGTCATATCACTGGTTACCTAATGCTTCCTAACTGGACATGCAAGGTGACAATCCTTCTGCACACAGATGATAATGCTGTATCACTGTACTATTTTCCTTCCAAGCAACCATCAAGATATCATATACTAAATATCATATACTAAAACAACCTAGTAAAGGTAAAGGTTCCCCTTGACCATTTTTGTCCAGTTGTGTTCGACTCTAGGGGGCGGTGCTCATCCCCGTTTCCAAGCCACAGAGTCAGCGTTTGTCCGAAGACAATCTTCTGTGGTCACATGGCCAATGCGACTTAGACACGGAACGCTGTTACCTTCCCACCGAAGTGGTCCCTATTTATCTACTTGCATTTGCATGCTTTCGAACCACTAGGTTGGCGGGAGCTGGGACAAGCAACGGGCGCTCACTCCGTCGCGTGGATTCGATCTTACGACTGCTTGGTCTTCTGACCCTCATACTAAAACAACCTAAAGGATAGTTAATAACTGCTTTGGATAACCCCGTGGCAGAGAATAGTAAGCTATAGCTGAGAGTGAAAATTCTAGAGGCATAATTTCCCTCAGGTAGGCTTTAGAGAAATGTTAGTGGAAACTTTTAAGAAGGAAATAATAAATGGTAAGCACAATTTATGGTTTTGCAAATACAATAGTATACTCTGCCAAGCAACTCCTTTGTTCTTCCAGATGTTTTGGATTTCAGTTCCCAGATGTCCCAGTAATGGATAAGGGCTTGTGGAAATTGTAGTCCAAAACATACATTGAAAGTCCATATGTTCCCCATCCCTGGTCTTCAACACTCCAATATTTATCAGGAAGTACCTGTTGAGTGACTTCTACAGAACCTAAGGGTGCCAAAATGTCCTGAGCCTTGGCTTGGACAAATAGTAATAAGGCCAAGTGTAAAGAGCTACAATTATGTTTTGCTTCATGCTTTTATCATTTTCCCCAAAATCAGATGAAGTTAAGGAAAATCAGTTAAGCAGGTATGATGCAAATATTTAGAAACTTTGAACAAACCCTTCCAGCTTCAGAATACAAATCTAGTTACATGCTGAAAGCCATGATTCTTCGAAAAACCCAATAATGTTTTAATCTAATGAAGTCAAGTGAGAAAGTGAGAAGAAACAAAAGAACTCTGCCTTCCTCCCAGCCTCACGTAAGCCCTCCTCTCTTTTCAGGGCCAGCTCTGTCTTTAGGCAGTTTGAAGCAGCTACGTCCAGGTGGCAGATGCTGGGGTGGGCACAGCACCTGTTCAATACTTCCTCAGGCAAATTGCCACTCACTCCACTTTTTTACAGAGTTGCGCATGTCACAGATACTAATGTTTTCTAAACCAGGTAGCTGGCCACAGCAGCACTGGAAAATACAGCCTCTTTTGAACTATTGAAGCAAGATTGAAGAGCAAATCTAGTTTGCTTCTGTCCAGCGAGAGCCTCAAACCTTTGCCATCCACAGCTAGATGTTTTGGGCTGGCTCTGTGTCCTTTTTTGTTAAACCTAATGCTCTATAACTATTGAGATCTTGCCAAGAAACTTCCAGTTGAAAGTCTGGATCAGTCAAACCAGGGTTTCAAATGTCCAGGAGTGACAGCCATACTATAGACAGTATTAATTTTCCAGGGTAAGATCAGGCAATTCTATATATTATACTGGCTGCTGGAAATACGAGCACAGGTATCTCCCACAGGAAACATGCCATAAGAGGGAGTCTCATACACATGCACATATATAAGAAAACTCTGACCCATGTTTTCTGTAGAATTCCTCCTGTGTTGGGCGTTTTGAATTACAAACCAAACTAACATTTTAAAATGTATGACAGATGAGCGCATACTACTTGAGGCCAGACAGTTACCAACAGTTATAAAATCAGGTTGTGACATACAGCACAGCACAGTGGCTCAATCACTAAAGGTGATGAGAGACACATTTTCCAAGCAGGATTATAAGTGCTATTTGCAGCCAGCAGCAAAGCATCAGAAACTGAGAAGTCGTGGGTTCTATTTCAAGTTTTGGGAAAGCATGTTCTCATATCAAGCACAAACACTTTGTTCCTCTTGCCTCGTAGGTCCATCCCTTTTACCCCACCCTGGCCTCCACAGCGTTTGCTTTCATTTTCCCAGCAAAAACTACCCAAAACTATGATCAGGGAAACACATGGAATCCGCTTTGGGTCCCTTGTTGGGAGAAATGCAGCATATTCATCATCATCATCATCATCATCATCATCATCATCATCATGGTGAGGAAGGACTCCTACAGCAACCCCCCACCCAGTTCATGCCACCCCACTATGGCACTGCCAGACATTATGGAACTGTTTGGATAGATACAAATATGTAGAAGAAAACAGGAGAAGAAAAAGACATTGCTGTCCGATAATCTCCTGTTATATGCACCCAATTCAATGCTTTATTTGTAGTTCCACAGCAAAAAAAAATTGCTATTGGATAAAACAAAAGTGGACCTTCTCAGTGATGGCATCTGCCCTCTAGGACAGTCTTCCCCCATATGGTCCCATACTATGAAATCAACAGGGAGCTCACGCCCTGAAGACCACTGGTATGCAAAGAATCCTTACTTCCAAACTTTTGCTACAGCAGGCACAGCTCCTCTCTGGAGGAATATAAGATACACTATGTGAACTCAAGACACTGAACACATTGTCTTGAAAAGCAAAAAGTTGAAGTTACAAATCCACAAATCAATTTCGTTTTGCATCAACAACGTAGTTGATAGGACCTAAATCAACTCCACTTTCCAAGTGATCATACTTATTGATGAAGGAAGCAGGCTGCTGCTCAAAAATAATCAGTCGCTTTTACATTAAAATATAAAATCAGCTAGCTGAAGTCATTACTGAAAGTCATTACTCTCAGGAAGGTAAGCCAGAACCCTCTTAAGAATTTCCACAAATGCAAAGGGACTATGCAGTTGGTCCTCTGCCTCCGGGCAGGATGTTCTTCATACCCAGCTTTTTTTGCAACCAGTGCACAGCTAGTATGCAAAAGAGAGGAGGAAGGAGGAGGAAAGCCGTTTACACCATTACCTTCCACTCTGCATTTCCTCAAGAAGATTCTTGCCCTAGCATCCTTATCAAGATCCAAAATATAGCTCCATGAAACAGTATGGCATAGTTACTATAGTGTCAGATTACACCTCAGGAGACTCAATTCAAATCCCTGCTTTCCCATGGAAACTCACTGGGGGAGTAGTAGTTATGGTAAATCACTCCTTGAACTTCTCATATACAGTGGTGCCTCGCAAGACAATGTTAATTCGTTTCACGAAAATTGCTGTTTTGAAAAAACATTGTCTTGCGAAATGCGGTTCCCCATTGGAATGCACTGAAATCCATTTAATGCATTCCAATGGGGGAAATAGTCATTGTCTTGTGAAAATTGCCCATAGGGAAAACCGTTTTGCAAAGCGCGGACCAGCTGTCAAAATCACTGTCTTGCGAAAATCAGTCCCTAAAAAACCATTTTGCGAGTCACGGACCTAGCTGTCAAAATCATCATATTGCAAAAAACGGTCCCAAAAAAAAGTCTTGCAAAGCACAGAGCGAAACATCATCCAGCGAAAATCACCCATAGGAAAAAACATTTTGCGAAGCGCTATAGCGATCACAAAAACTCATCTTGCGAATAAACTGTTTTGCGAAGTAATCGTCTAGCGAGGCACCACTGTACTTCAAAAATCCTATTAGGGTCACCATAAGTCAGAAGTGGCCTGCCAGCACAGACCAACAGCAATATAACTCACCAATGTTTGCAGGTGCCAGAGACATCTTGGGCCTTACAGCATAAATTAGGGCAGTGGCGTCCCTTTGCCAGCAATCCAGATGGTAAAGTGTTTTGCGAAGTAATCGTCTAGCGAGGCACCACTGTACTTCAAAAATCCTATTAGGGTCACCATAAGTCAGAAGTGGCCTGCCAGCACAGACCAACAGCAATATAACTCACCAATGTTTGCAGGTGCCAGAGACATCTTGGGCCTTACAGCATAAATTAGGGCA